ATATTTAAAATTCACACTATTTACATATATTGCCATAATTTTTGTTTCTTTCTATCCAATTTCAGACCATTTAATCATATCCCAAGAAAAAAAAAATTGCGGGTGCGAGATAGCAGTGGCAGAGTCATTGAAGTGTTGTTGGAGGAGTCATTTTGATTGAGTTGACCAGAGAGGCTTATTATTTACCTCTGCAGAAATCAAATTCTAGTTAACTTCTTCCCGTCAACTGATCGCTCAATTAATGCATTAATTAATGTCCCCCATACACATAGACATTGCACCCAAAAAAAATTCAACTTTCTAAATTCTAATGATTGAGAGAGTAACTATTAAATAATAACCTTTTATTTATTGATTATGCATATGATGTCACGTCAAAACATTTTAAAATAAATAAGTAAAGTATTTCAATCTTTGCACATCAAACAAGTAAGAAAGTTTTTGAATAATTTATAAATAACGTCGTTGCATATTTCATTAAATTAGCTTTTGAATGGATGAGAGTAAACTGGTAACACATAATTAATATTTACATCACGAATTTATATTTTTATCTTAAAACTTTTATGAATATGAGATTTATGATATTTGCTTGCTCCTGTTCTATTAACTAAAACATGTTACACAACATGTATTCTGTAAACAATAATAATTGATGACAAATTTAATTTTTAGTATTTCCTTATTTACCAAATTAAGATTTGGGCGAAAATAAAAAATCTACAACCATAGTAAAACCCTATCTACAGATTTGATATTCGTTTGGCAACCTTAATTATGTCATTAAGAGCTTAATTTCAAACTCATTGACTTCTTGCAATTGGGTGCAAATTGCGTTTGCTAAAAATCCATTTTCTTGTAGTGGCATATTATGTATAGGTTTTGCCCCCGAAAAACACATGGAGCTTTGACATGTGATAGTCAATTCTATGAGTTTTGAAATTGGAAACTTAGATGCATTATTGGAGCCACTCACCACTGATTCTATAAATGTTGATTCTAAGATGATCTCCTTTAAACTTTTTTACTAGTAAACATAAGTAGAAACATAACCACCACCTGACTATTGAATTTAAACCATTTTTTCTATATAAAATAAATATAAAGAGAAGGTTTTTGAATTTCTCAATTTAAGGAAACACAATATGTATTTGATAAAAATAATACATTTAAAGTTAACCTCAATTAAGATTATTAATAAGCTTCGAATTTAAAATTAAAAAATAAAATTCTACAAATCTAAACTTTATATTTAGAGACTTTAAAGTAAAACTCGGGTAGTAATTGATTAATTGAGTATTGAAGCACAAACAATTTGGTTTTTTCAATTTAAGAAGAAAGCAAGTAATAATTAAGATTTTAGTATATTCTTTCTGAATATTAAAACAATTTGAACCTAAACCTCGGAAGATTTAAGAAAAGACAAAACAAAACACGGTGCTTGCTTGGTCTGTATGTACATAAGACAAGAAGATGACGAGAAGGGACGCACGAGGAAATTTCATGGAAAATTCATGGTGGTAGAAATGTAATCATAGTCAGAGCTGACGTGTCTGGGACCCAAACGTTCCTAAATTATTACCAAGGCTTAAACACACTGACCCTTGAAAATGATACTATTAAATTAACAATAAGTCTTCACTTAACTAAGGGAGCTTAAATAGGGAAACTCCATAAACTTAGGGGCATGGGACCCACCTGTCCAACTCATTGTTCTGTACAGATCTGCAGCTGACTTGGCGAAGAGGAGCACGCAACGATTATTTTCGCCGATTTTGGACGTGGTTCTCATACGTGTTGAGTTGTGAGTGGGCCAACGCTTTGTATATGGACCACATTTCCACCGTATTATTCCCCCGCGCCCTCAAATTTTGCTCCCTGTTACGTGTTGCGACTTGGCTACGCTAATCATGTTTTTTTCCCCCTTCTTTTGGTTTATGAAAACATGACTATGAATATTTAATTTCTTTTTAGGGTATCACAACCTTGCATTATTGGTGGAATTCTTTTTTAGTTTTTCCAGAAATGTTTTGGTCATTTTTAGAAGTTTTTTCTTAGGTAAAGCAGATGGAGTTTATATGTCAATGTTCAATAACAATTAATAATATTTAATTTACTGATAATTACCCTTTTCTTCAAAGGATGAACATGATTTTCGAATCAAGATGAACTTGATAATATTGCTTGTTCTGGCTGTCTTATTATATATATGAAGCAATCTAAATATTTATTTTTATCACATACACATACACTCTTACTCTCTATTTCTCTCTCCTAATCAAATGTTCAGAAACACATGTGTTGGTGTTAATAATAAGCATTTTGCTATGATATTCTATAAATTAATTATCATATTATAATAAATGTCACACTCCTAAACTTAAATTGAGAATCCAAATCCTAATATAATATTTTCAATGCTCGCAAAAATAAGAAACAAAAATATTTTTGGGTGCATAATGGAAGAATTTTTAACATGCACATATATAAGCACTAGTGAACTGATATTCTTAATGGTTAATCAACTCTCTATATTTGGATAAGAAAGCATTGAAACGAACGTTTGACCCTTTCTTCTTTTTTTTAAAGAAATGTTCTTATATAGTATGGCTTTTAGTGGAAAAGCCTTGATCATCTGGCTAAATACGTAAGGAATTCATTTGAGGCAATGTTTAATTTCGTTCATATGCATGCATTTTATTCAAAATAAGTAAACACTTGGTGGTTCATACGCATTTAAGGATAATATCAACATATTCATAAGCTGAGAAAAGGACAATGCCACAATTGTATGGCTGTGCTTGGAGTAAGTAATACCAATTTGGAGAGAAAAAAATGGACAGAATTTTTGTTGCTTTTAAAAAAAATAACCAGCTTGAATACTTTGATAAAGTGCCTTTTCTAAGTTTAATGTCAATGCGTAAGAATATGAGATTTAGCTTTAGCTATATTTTAATATATACATGCACGGCTACAATTAACCGCCAAAACATTTCATCTAGCAAGAATTAAAAAATTCTATCATCATTGAAATGACTCAAAACTTGATAATTACGAATATAATTTAGATTCCCATGCTTGCATAGAGACAATTGAGAATTCAACAAAAGACTTAATTGGATTGAGAAGGTTGCCTACTTCAGAAAACGATTCATAAATGTTGTTTATTCAATTGTGCGTATAGATTATACTCGTCTTGTGTTGATAAGGATGATTGAGCAACTCATTGGTTTGGGATATTAAATTTTGCAAAAAGAGATTGAAATTTCCCAAAAATATGACCCTTGGGGATTCGTGCGGAAAGGGTGCAGTTTTGAGAGTGGAACTTATTCAGTGTCCAAATTCATGTTGTCTACTGTTAGCCAATCGGAATGGCCGCCATTGTCTCGGGAACCGTAAAATGAGGCGGCCACGTCATCCATGTCCGTCCCCAAAGCCAAAAAGCCAATTTATCATAAATCAGGACAAAGGATAAGATGAAGAACAACTGTTTTCTGTAACCGTTCCAGAGTCTTTAACATGGGCAACGTGGGTTCAGTCGCAGTGCGTGACAAAACTAACCTGACCAAAAACAAAAAAAATAAAGCTATGTTAAATATATATATATATATATATATATATATGAAAATTAGTACCGCCTTTGCGTATGTTTGACAGAATTGAAGCCTAAAACATTCTTTCCGCCGATTTTAACCGCCCTTCAGTTTTTCACTTCACGTGCTGAAAGCACAAAAGAAATATCTATGTTATTTTAAACGGAAAAATAAATATAAAATCAAAATTACTGACAAAAGATCAAAATGTTCCACGTGTCGATATCCCGAAAGGTATAGTGAGTAGAAGTTGCTCGATGTTTAACTCCCAATTTTGGTATATAAACCCACCTTCTCCACCTGTGCTTACTCGCATCCTTGTCTGAACAAGTGCCCTGTGAACTGAGCGTCCCTCGCCGCGCTTCGCTTTCTCTGTCCCTCTAAGAAGAGGCATTGCCTTCGTTGGAGTGCACTTCTACTGAGTCTTCTTTTTGCCGTTCCTTTTTCTAGGCTTTCCTCCCTCTTCGAGCTTTAAGGAAGAATTTCAGCCCTCGGCGGCTCGAGGAGTTAGCTACCGGTGAGTATATTTAGGGTGTGGAGTTTCTTTCCACTATATGTTTTTTTACTAGCTTTTTCGTAAGTTGTTGATTTGATGATTGATGGATTTCCAAGAATTTATCTCTTACGTGAGAGAAAATGAGATGAAATTGGGAGCTTCTTTGAAGCTAATGATTTCTTTTCGGAGATTCTGACGGAGTTGTGTATGGAGGAAAGCTAACGAAAAAGGTAACTTTGGAGTATGGAGTTGAAGCCAAGTTCTTTGATTGACGGTTGCTGAAGATGATGATCATTTTTTTTTAGGACAGATCACGATGATTAAAGAGACTTGGACAAAATTTTGCAAATTTCTATTACTAATTAATTTCTGTTGAATTTAGACTTCACCGTCTTTTCTCTTTCGCTGTATTAATCGTGAAGATTTTCCAGTTTATATGAAGCTACTTTTCTCGTGAATCGGTCCAAAGTTGCTCTTTTCTGTGTAACTCTCAGCAAACGCTTTTCTCTTTTTCAAGAAAGAAAAAAGAAGCTTTATTCGGAGCCGGAACAGATCGTGGTGGTCCACCGGCGGCCTTTACCAATTCCAGTTTTGTTTTGTTTGCAGATTGTTTCCAAAATTTCTCTCTCTCACTTTTTCCTTTTTGATGATTTTCTCTTGAAACCGTCTGAAAGTTAATAGTTAGTATATATTCATTTCACAAAAAACTTAAAAAGGAAAATATGTAAACTTTTTTCTACACAGTAATAAAAAAAAGGCCACGCTTAGACACCCCACACACCCCAAAAAAAAAAAAAATTACTTGAACAATAATTTCGAATAAATAATTTCTATCTTCTTCCTTCTGCCTTGGTACCTTATCAACCTAGATATTCTTTCGTGGAGATAGTATTTTCTCCCAAAAAAAAAAGGAAAAGAAAGAGAAAGAAAAAGGAAACGAGCGCACAAAGCATGCTGGTTTTCTCTTGTTTCAACAAACAAAAATGATTTTTAAAATTTCACATAATTTTTTTCCAGATTTTTTCTCATTCTTTATAAGTTTTTGGTGGGTTCAAATTCAATGCTTATTCAACGGTTAGGTGAGAGAATGCTAAGGACATCATCAGTAAAGCAATTGAGGTGGAATCTCCCTTCATGGAAATCTCATGGCAGTGTTCCTTTTAAAAGCCTCAGCTTTCACAGATACTTTAAACCCATAGGTCGTTCAGAACCTTCCCTACCCCTTGTTTTATTTTATATTTGTATCTACAAATGGTTGGTCTATAGTTTTTTTTTTTTAAATCTAATTATTCTCTGTTCTGATTGAAACACTGTTTCTAGTAAACGTGTTCTGTTTTAAAATATGTTTGATTGATCTGTTCACTGATGTTGTTTAATATGTTGTGTGACAGTTATCAGGTGCTGAGTATCAACAATGACGGTCACACCAAGAATTTCTATCAACGATGGGAACCTTGTCGTTCATGGGAAGACCATCCTCACTGGAGTGCCAGACAACATCGTTTTGACTCCAGGATCCGGTGTGGGAATTGTTGCTGGTAGCTTTATTGGTGCTACTGCTTCTGATAGCAAAAGCCTTCACGTCTTTCCCATAGGTGTTTTAGAGTAAGCACTTTCCCTCTTTTGAAATTTATTATCCTTCAATTTTGATATATATAGCTGCTTTTCATAAATTAGAATTGATGTTTGTATTTTCACACTATTATGTTTATAAGTTGGCGATTGCATTATTCTGTGAAAATGTCTTACCAATAACATATATATGTGGATTGCGATTTAAGCAAATCAACCGATTTTCTTTCTATGACAAATTGGCCGTTCATGATGTTTTGTATTGCCAACATGTAGCATAAAGCTATAAAACTAACATAACTAGTCCTGAAAGATTATGATGGTTGATTTCAAGTCTTAATAATTAACAGTATAAAGCTTCTCATGTTAGTGATTGTTGCCTCAGAAGATTCCACTTCATCCTTTTACTTTATTTCACTCTTTTCATCTGTATAGATGTTTAGAAATATTCGGTTGGGTCGATTTCTTTCCTAGTGAACATGGTAAAAAACGAATTATATGAGTATGGAGTAATTTTGAATCTAGAGTTTATGACTCTTCTTTTCTTTTTTTAAATATGTCTATTCAAATATTTATTAGTGTAATTCATGCTATGTTAAATATATTTTAAAATATTTTAGATAGACATGTTCATTGGATTTTGCACTTGCCATACTTATGCCTAATACTTAGCCAGGGACTGTTTTTGCTGATATATGCTTTTGATACTTAAGGCTTATAAAACTGTAAGTTCTCAGATGATTATGGTGTGGAGGAGTTGCAAGAGTCTTGACTTGAATTTATTTTTCTCTAACAGAGGTCTCCGATTCATGTGCTGTTTCCGATTCAAACTATGGTGGATGACTCAGAGAATGGGAACATGTGGGAAAGATGTTCCTTTTGAGACTCAATTCATGCTTGTAGAGAGCAAGGAAGAAGATGATCCGAATGCCCCAACAATCTACACTGTTTTCCTCCCACTTCTTGAAGGCCAGTTCCGTGCTGTTCTGCAAGGCAATGACAAGAATGAGATAGAGATATGCCTTGAGAGTGGTGAGTAGCTTATGGCACTCAGAAATATCTGGCATTGGCCATATGCAGCCTGTCTGTTACTCAATTGCATAGGGCAAATCTTCAGTTCCATCCTATTGGCCATTAATGAAGGAGTCAAACCATATGAAATCACGGGGTGGAGTTATCATTAATGTGAACAACCAGGGTGGAGAAACCATGAATGACTGCCATCCCAATAAATAAAAATTAATGGCATATATAGCATTCTGTGATGAAAATAGATGGAAAGGATCAAGTTCGAAAGAACCGAAACGACTTGTTTTTTGTGGTGTGATTTGGTTTTGCAGGAGATAATGCTGTTGAAACAAATCAAGGTCTTTACCTTGTCTACATGCATGCTGGGACCAATCCCTTTGAAGTTATCAAGCAGGCTGTGACGTGAGTAGATATGCTTCTGTGAGCAATTTTTTTTTCACAATTTCTTTTATCCTAATTGGTAGTGATTGAAAGTATTTTTTAAACAACTTATTGTTAGTGTTTTCTTTCCCTGGAAATTACAGACAAATTACAATCATATCTCCAGAATTTGATTTGATTTCCTAGATATATGTTGTTTCTTGTGTTTTGGATGCTTGCTTAATGAGCACTTAATATTTTTGGTTTTGTGAACCAGGGCTGTAGAGAAACACATGCAAACTTTCCTTCACCGGGAGAAGAAGAAGGTAAAATTACTCTTACGTCAATGTTTACTTTCCCTGCCTTTCTTTTTTTTTAAAGAATGATGATTTAAACTTCTGAATTGGCTTGTTAAGATCATCTCTATGTGTCTTCTCTAAATTTATTACATTGGTTGTGAATAGGTGCCTTCATTTCTTGATTGGTTTGGCTGGTGCACATGGGATGCTTTCTACACTGATGTCACTGCAGAGGGTGTTGAGGAAGGCCTTAAAAGGTAAAAGAATTTATAGCAAAGTGAGCTAGCGATTAAATGTACATGGAAAGTAAATGCTATGATCATGATAAGATGGTTGTCACTGAATTCTTTTTGTCTGTAATTGCAGTCTATCGGAGGGAGGGACTCCACCTCGATTTTTGATCATAGACGATGGTTGGCAGCAGATTGAAAATAAGCCCAAAGACAGTGATTGTGTTGTACAAGAAGGGGCGCAGTAAGATCTCTCTCTCTCTCTCTCTCTCTCACACACACACACACATGCGCACACGCATGTGCATGCACTCATGCACGTTATTATGTGTTGTTAGTTGCGGACAAGTGTCTTGTGAGAGGAGCACAGTAAGATTTTCTGTCATCTGTGTTTGAAAGTATTCAATTTTTGCTCTAATAAATTCCCCTCTTTATTTTTATGCCAAGTTTGGTGTAAAAGTGTGTGCCTGGATGGATGACTAAGAGCTCTTTAAAAATTGATTAATCTGTTGAAGGATTCTGAAAATTAACATTTTAATATTTCTTTTATCATGTTTCATTTTTACATTATATTTCCACTTCTTGGAAGCAAAACATTCTCCATCTATCTTTGTTAAGGGTTGTAAACCAGGAACTTGGAAAATGTAGGCTAAGTAGAAAATCAAGAAGTTTTGGTAGCTGTAGTCTAGCATTACTTTCATAGACCAGGTCTAGAACACAGCTCTTGTAATGAGAAGCAGCTCTTAGTCTCAGACGATGCATCCACAACCTCTGGCCAGGGTGGAGTAACCATGTAAATAGGGGCGTCTTACTATCATCACATGAACTGGAGAGGAGGACTAAATGTCTTAGTGTTGAGTCTTTAGTGGAAGTTTTAATTCTGCACACCCTGATGATTGGACCATTATCTTGCTATATATCAGAAATAATTAGATATAATGGTCTGGTGAATCCCAGTGGTCCCTATTCCTGTTCAGATCCATTTTAACTTCTGGGTCATCCTTGTTTATGTCAGAATGCAAGTTCTCACTCTTGGATTCTAGCTCAGTCTTAAAACTTCAATGGATGTGAATGACATGGAGTCGAATTAACTTGGTAGATGGCATGTCTTGTCTTCCTTTGCTGGCACGTTTTATGTTCTTGTATGATCAGGCAATTCTTTCTTTCTGTTTTTTTCTTTGAACAAAGATCTTGCATTATAACTGTGATTATCACAAAGGTTGGATGTAGATATGATGTCCAATTATTTCGTGCAGGTTTGCAAGCAGGTTGACAGGGATTAAAGAGAATGCTAAATTCCAAAAGAATGGCCAAGACAGGGAACAGATCTCAGGCCTAAAACATGTTGTAGATGAAGCCAAGCAGCATCATGATGTGAAGTAAGTGTCCCAAGTTATTCTGGTTCTTTGTGTTTTTCTGTTGGTTGCAGTGCTTTTTATTATGAACTCTCTTATGAAAGCAAAAAGACTGCCATACATGCTTTGCAGATATCTTCCTCTCAATCAGATTCCCATTCTTTATTCGAAGCAATTAATTAGCTTCCTCAGTTACATGATGAGTAATCGATCGGTTTCATAAACCTATCATTATCTGTCTTCATGTAATAATCTTCTGGTTAACAGCTACTGCTCTCTTTAGTTTGAGCAGGAATTGCATTGACAAATGCATTTAGTTTCTGATTCAACTATCCACTTTGCAAATCCAAATTGAAAGAAAATGGCCAAATTAGATTTGACACCCATTGGCATATAAATTTATCCGACATATACATGCAAACGTTAACCCCTGCCCCTTGGTCATTCATACAAAAATGATCTTCAATCAAAGCAGCATATTTGTGTAAAGAAAGTCTACTTGTACTTATTTGTCATGTGTAAGATGGATCTTAGTTTTGGAAGTTCATTCTCTGTAATTTCTCTCTGAATAATGTTGACCTCTATCACAAGTAACATTTTGTCCTACTTTATGCATAGGTATGTATATGTGTGGCATGCTTTGGCTGGTTACTGGGGTGGAGTCAAACCTGCAGCTGCTGGTATGGAACATTATGATACAGCATTGGCTTATCCTGTTCAGTCCCCTGGTGTGGTGGGCAACCAGCCAGACATAGTTATGGACAGCCTAGCTGTTCATGGCCTAGGTTTGGTTCATCCAAGGAAGGTTTTCAACTTCTATAATGAGCTTCATTCCTATCTGGCTTCATGTGGAGTTGATGGAGTGAAGGTTGATGTGCAAAACATTATTGAGACCCTTGGTGCTGGTCATGGTGGTAGAGTATCTCTTACCCGCAGTTATGTCCAGGCCCTTGAAGCCTCAATTGCCCGAAACTTCTGTGACAATGGATGCATAGCATGCATGTGTCATAACACTGATGGAATCTACAGCACCAAGCAGACTGCTGTTGTTAGAGCTTCTGATGACTTTTATCCTCAGGACCCTGCTTCGCACACTATCCATATTTCGTCAGTGGCTTACAACACTCTTTTCCTTGGAGAATTTATGCAACCTGACTGGGATATGTTCCATGTAAGTAAAAAATAAGAGTTTATGTTCCTTAAGCTGCTATTGTTTTCTCAAGTCAGCTGCAATCTTTGTATGTAATGATGGTCAACCAATATTCTTACTAAATGAATGAGAAGAGGGGGGGGCCCCCGGGGTGGGGGGTGGGTGTTAGGAATAGATTATGACCTTCTTTCCAATTATTTCTTATGAAATTGCTTTTGATATTCATTAAAGAAAGGCTCAAAAAGAGGTTACATGTGATGCTGATGATAAAATTGATGGTTTGCAGAGCTTACACCCAGCTGCAGATTATCATGCTGCTGCTCGTGCAATTGGTGGATGTGCTATCTATGTCAGGTATTGTTATGCTAAAGTTGATTTTTAATTTTCATAAATTCTAATCATAGTGATGATGTGCAATTTTCTAACATGAAATCTGTATTTGTGTTCTATGCAGTGATAAGCCTGGCAACCACAATTTTGAGCTCTTGAAGAAGCTGGTCCTTCCTGATGGATCAGTTCTCCGTGCCCAACTGCCTGGCAGGCCTACCCGTGACTGTCTATTTGCTGATCCAGCCAGAGATGGGATTAGGTGTGTAGCATTCTTTGTCCTTGCTATTGCACATCCTGTGTGTTTGGTGATGCAGCTTTACTGACTAAGTTCTATTTTGCAGCTTGCTCAAGATATGGAATGTGAACAAATGTTCTGGTGTGGTGGGTGTTTTCAACTGCCAAGGTGCTGGTTGGTGCAAGATCACCAAGAAAACCCGCATTCATGATGCATCACCTGGCACCCTTACGGGGTCTGTTTGTGTCAACGATGTTGATTCAATCACTCAGGTTGCTGGTGCAGACTGGAATGGGGAGACTGTGGTTCATGCTCATAGATCAGGTAACTCTTCTATAGCCTCCCATGCCCTCGATGCCTCTTAAGTGCATTTATCTAGAGATGTCCTGGCAGCCCTTGCGGTGTGTAAGGTGATGAGTGCCAGCTGGATCCAGGCCCTTGGATTAACTAAACACGTGCATGTGTGTATGTATGATGCATTTAATCAAAGAATTTATACTTCAAAAATGCTCAAAATGCTTTTGAATTTCAGGGGAGGTGGTACGGTTACCTAAAGGTGCTTCAATGCCAGTAACGCTTAAGGTTCTTGAGTATGAAGTATTCCACTTCTGTCCGGTCAAGGTTAGTTTCTTTTGGTTTCTTTCCTTGCTTTTAGGCTGCTTTGTTAATTTGTCAATGGTGGTTTATTAAATTCCTTTACCTATGTTGCAGGAAATTACCACGAATATTTCATTTGCACCAATAGGCCTGCTTGACATGTTCAACTGCAGTGCTGCTGTGGAGCAGTTCGAAGTACAAATGGTAGTGGACAGGGAGCCAGAACTCTTTGACGGTGAGATCTCCCCAGAGCTGACAACTTCTCTCAGCAACAACCGGTCTCCAACTGCAACAATCATCCTCAAAGTTAGGGGTTGTGGACAGTTTGGTGCTTACTCTTCTCAGCGTCCATTGAAGTGCACTGTGGGTAATGCTGAGACTGACTTCAACTATGACTTAGCTACTGGATTGGTGACACTGACTCTGCCAGTTGCACCGGAGGAGATGTATAGATGGCCCATAGAAATTCAAGTCTGAGTAGTTTCAGGTTATTAGCATCATATTACAGTGTCATCTTTGTTATTTCTAGTGGTGGTGATGGGTATTTTGCTGGGAAGTGGGGAGCGAGTGAGAGAGGCCCTTACATATAATCGGGGTACTATGTTAATGCCACTTTCTATCTAATAAAAGTGCCTATTGTTCAAAAATATTTGTGTTCCTTGTCTATATTTCAATAGCTGAATTATTGGTTTCTGTTTACCAAAAATTGGTAAAAAGACCTGTGTAATCCGAAATGTACCCCTTGCAGAGTTGTAATCTGGAAGCTTCTCATTTTCATTTGAAAACCAAGTGAAAACTGCTTTTACTACATACACTCGTACACATTGAAACATTCTTCTTTAACGAATAATCAAATTCAAGGGCAAAGAAACAAAAACCCAACTGCAGTAGATCCTGTTACATTCATATATGCAGGCCAAAAACTGAAACAAAAAGATTTTACAGGTCAAACTGATTGGCTGTGTACTGATACAAACCATTTATAAATAGTTTGAAAAAAAAAAAAAACCAGAGGACCTCAAAAGTTATGTGGATGATTTAGGCAATTTCAACATACTGACACTTGTGATGCTTGTACACAGAAATCACCATATCCGATTCTTGATTATGCAATATTGTTTTGCTGCTAGTTGTTATTTCTTCTTCCAAATCATCACTGACGAAACAAGCTTAGAAATCCTCAGCATATAGGTTGTTTAAGGTCAGGTTCCTAAGTTATCAATAATGGTAAGTGTGTTGAAGCAAAGTAGTGGAGAATCGTTAAAGTTGATAGTCACCAATAATCTATGCATGAGCAAGTTCCATTTACAAACTTGTGGAACCGAACTCGATCTCTTACAATAACTTCACGCTCATAAATTTTACTGATAATCTTTGTGACTTCATGGCAATCGCTACAAATTCTTAGATTCTTTACTATTCTTATTGGTGCTGGCGCTTTGGTCTTCAAAAGTCCATATGCAATAGCAAGCCTTTCACTATGCTCACACAGGTATGTTCCTTTCTCTTCATCAGCAACATTGTGCAGTACATCAGAAATATTTGGTTCATGCCCAGAACCACTAACTCGCTCAGAAATATCCTTCAAAACCTGCCTTATCTCCTTTTGCTCAGGATGGGACCAATCTCCCATCACAAACTCATGCACAAAACCATCAATTTCAATTGAGGTACACCCTGGAACTCCCTTGATGCCCTTTTCCTTCATCATCTTTCTGACATGGCTCATCTTCTCCCACTGTGATACTGATGCATACAGATTTGACAGCAGGATATAATTCTCTGTATTCAATGGTTCTAATGCAAGAAGTTGTTCAGCCGCGATTTCACCTTTATGCAACATTTTGTTCTTTTGGCAACCAACAAGTAACGTTCGCCAAATTACCGCATTTGGAGAAAAAGGCATGGTTTGAACAAAATTGTAAGCCTCACCAACAAGGGAGGCTCGGCAGAGAAGATCAACCATACAACCATAATGCTCTATTGATGGTTCAATTCCTGATTCAATCATGCTTGACCAATATCTCCTACCCTCAGAAACTAGTCCACTATGGGCACAAGCAGCTAAAATGCCAACAAAGGTAACATGATTAGGTTTAACCTGGAAAAAGAAAGCAGAAAATGAGAATAACCAACTTCCTTTTTTAGCAGTCCAAACTACCTACTTACTAAACAATGATTTTATCTTGGCAAGCCAGCTTGATGAAAGCATCAGCATATATGCATATGATCATAACAGAATCTTCCAGAGTGCAATGCTATAAGAGTCTAAAAGTTAAGATGCGTATCCTGTTCATGTATTTCAATACCTTTGATTCTCCCATCCTAGAAAACGCTTCCAAAGCCTCTTCTGCTAGGCCATGAACTGCCAATGCGACAATCACTGTGCTCCAAGCTTTCTGGTCTTTTACTGGCATTCTCTCAAAAAGTTCTTTCGCTTTTTCGATGCACCCACACTTTGCATACATGTTAACTAGTGCAGTACTAAGCACGATATCAACCTCAATCATCAGCTTCTCAATGTAGGCGTGAACCCACCTACCAATATCCAATGCCCCAGCTGCAGCACATGCAGAAATCACACTCACCATTGTAACCTCATCAGGAACAATACCCACCCTTTGCATTTCCCGAAACGCACCAAACGCCTCATTGACAGATCCCATCATAGCATACCCACTTATCATTGTACTCCAAGCTACCAAGTTTCTCTGGGGAATTTCATAGAACACTTTCTTGGCGAGCGCCATATTTTCACATTTTGCATAAAAATTCACTAACCCGGTTTGCACATACGGGTTCGAACCAAACCCAGATCGAAAAACACGGGCGTGAACCTGCTGGCCTTCTTCGAAAGCCAAAAGATTTGAGCAAGCCTTTAGCACAAACGCCAGGGTAAAAGTATTAGCTGAAGGGTACCCTCTTTTGACCAATTTTTTATACAAAAAAATGGGTTCTCTCGATTGATTTCCGTTGAGAGAATAACCCCGAATAAGGGAATTCCAAGAGAATATATTTGGGTTTGGGGTTTGAGAGAAAACTTTGCGAGCATGATTGATATCTCCATGGCGAGAAAGAGCACAAAAACCAACTATTTTCGAGAGAAGGAAGGAGACTGCTGAGATAGGAAGGAAGCGAGTGAGAAGACGCGCGTGGATTTGACAGATAACGCGCGTATTGGGGCATTTTTCAATTAGAGAAGCGATTCTTTCTTCTTCTTCTTCCAGCTTTTCTTACTTTGTTCAGTGTTCTCTGTTTTTCCAGAATCGGCAAAAAGTTTCAACTGAAATTTGAAAGCCAACGGTTCGTAACGATAAATGAGCCTAATACAGGCCTGGACCCTCTATGGGCTTATTCAAGCCCATTTAAGGTCAATACATCTACAATTGAAGTAGAATGGCCGAACTTTCATTATACTTCGTTGAGTTTCAGAATCTATACATGCATGTGCATGCTTAGACTTTATTAATTAAGCTTTAGAACAACTTTGGCTAGCTGGTTAAATTTTGGTCATGCTTGTTTTTATAAAAGAAACCAAAAAAAAAAAAAAAACAAAGAAAGAAACTAATGTATTATACCAATCTGTCAAATTTCAACACTGTAATAACTTAACCATTTAATATCGGTCAAAATTTCAAATTCATACGCATGCTTGACTAATACCTAAAATTACATGCATGTCAAATCTAACATCAAATTAACTAAGATGATCCGGTTCGATTTTTCTTAGTTAGGGTTTTGTTAGAGCAAGTATCTATTTAATCCAAAGTTGCTTCTGAACACAAAGCATTGCCAGAAATGAATTATACATTGAGAACTCAATTGGACAGATTTTGAGCCCTCCAAGTTTCATTCCACTGGAGTAATGTGTTGTTTGCCAACTTTTGAAGGTATGTACTTGATAATGATGAAGCTAAAATAAGGTAGGAGCAATTATAGAGGCCCCATGATTCAATTAATTTCCATAACCAAATTGAAGAAAATCAAATTAGTCAAGAACCCACTCAAGTGAATCTGCCAAGCCATATCAAGAAAAATTGGCATTTGTGGCACTTAATGTCCTTAGCTTTATCATAAGCAAGACATTTTATCTAGTCATCTTGGTGCCTTGCATTGCTTAAAGGCAATATCAAATCTCTTGAAGGAAACAATAACTTAATATAAGAAGGGTCAATTCTAAAAATTCTTCTTCGTATATAGATTGAAACAAATGAGTGCAGGCATTTCAAATCATACATTTGTTTTCCTTATATGATAATGCCATAACTAACAAAAAAATTGAAAAAAAATAATTAAAAACAAAGATAACAAATATTCGAGCATTTGGTTCATTGGTTGGTATATGATTTCTTTCTAAAATAGTAAAATATATAAATAAACAAAATCCAGTACATTCAAAGAGTCAAAAGAGTACTATAGAATGTGAAATTTGAGAATAAAATAGAAAGGTAGTGAGTATATAATGTTTATATATGGCTATGGGAAAGCTTTTTATCCAAATCTACTCAAATATTGGTGCAAGAGAATGTAACCTGAGTTTAGGTACAAATTAGGTGTTGTTGGCATGACCATCAAAGGAATTTAATGCCCATCAAATTGGTGCAATGAGAAAGTACTTGAATGAATGTGTCCAGTAAGATGGAGTTGTTAAGATTTTTTGTTTATATCTGAATTAGTCAAGTCGCCAAGCAAATTAATGATAAGGCAGTTATGTAATAGAATTCCTTTGTACCATACCACCTTGTTCCACCGGAAAACTATTGGCCAAACCAATGTTTTCTTTTGTTATACAAGAAGGAGCATTACGGCAAATAAAACTTTTATGATATTGGAATTAGGGGATTGCGACTACGAGAGATCACATGTGTCGTCCAAGGATTGCTTTCCAAATGTTGGTAACTGAATTAAAGCTATTGATTTATGGATTGCTTATTCTTTGTTCACTATCATTTGGTGGAAGACCATAAACATCTTTTAGCATAAATAGTTGCTTAGGGCTTCCCTAAAGTCTTGCTTTCATCATGCATATTGACAAGCTGCTGCAAGTTCCCATAGGCCATAGCCATCTCCCTTACTCCACCGACGTATGACCTCAACACCTTGTGATGCTAATGACATGCCTTAAAGGTGTATCAGAGAGGCACGCTTTTCCAAAATTCCTAACATTTTGGAATATGATAAACATTTATGCCCTAGAAAACCTAGTAAGTTTCAACTTAATTTCCAATCATAATACATGTATATTGCAAGGAATTTTCATGCACTAGCCCAATAAAAGTAGAAAACGAAAAGGATATCCAAAATGACAACAGGTTCATGCATGAAGTCCAAAAAGGTGGATAAGGGATGGCGCACTTATAATACCCCCTCCGGTGTCTCACGATTCAGGTTCCTTCTCAGACAGTTGAGTCCATGCATTTGCCCAGACTGAAAGGGATGATCATTTTAGGACAAGTTGGAAACTACAAAGTAAAAAGGATGTCTGCATGTCCATATGACAACATGGTTTGTGACAAGGGTGACTTAAAAGACTATCTTATACCTAAAATATTGTAAAATTAATCACGCCTTCACTTGTTCTACTTCCTGGGCAAACCAACAAGAAGTTGGTTAATTTTTGCTATCTCAATCATCATCATTTTCTCTCGAAGTAAGGCCAAAAGTGATTATATATAACAAATTCTTGAGCCCCCAACATGCAGTTATCTGTTATTTAATTCTTTCTTTTATCAAATTAATTATAAGAGCACATTATAAGTTAATTCATGAGGTTGAAATTTGAACAATTTTTATATATAAAATAGTAGATATTGATAATATTTTGGGAGCAAAAGTCAGAGGCTGCCCAAGAGATTATTTCGTCTCAATCTCTCATATCCTAGACCATACCTCCAGAGAGAGCCTTGCCCAAAGACACTAACCAATCTCTCCCTTTTCTCAAATTTTTTCCCTATAAATATAGAATCTCGTCATAAAAGTAATTCACAAAACCAATCCTTTCTAGCTTTAATATCATCATCAGGGCAATCCATTCTCTACTATCTTTCAGATTAGTATCCTTAGTTTGTTCCTGTCTCTCACAAATCAAGAAACAATGGCTCTACAAATTAGACAATTAATCCAACATTTCGTAATCGTTTTCTCCTTATTCTCACGTTACAACGCCTTGAAAGAGGACCCACGTTATAATTACTATAAAGAAGTGGTAGCTGGGTATGATCCGCAAGCATACCCTTCATATGTCAGCACCCTTGAAGATGGCGAGTTTAAGGACTTGATCAGGCCAAGCGCTGAAGTTCTTAGCTTGCACAGGTTTGGTGAAGTGGATATCATCACGTCAACTTCAACTAAAACAGTTAATGTGGATGATTTTGGAGCTACTGGTGATGGACATGATGACACCCAGGTTAGTGCACATTCAACTTTGCATAACATGGAAATAATTCATTGAATTTTTTTTTTTTTTTGCATTTGTACTTTTTATGAGTATTCTCATTGCTTTAAATATGCATGGCTAGCTATTTCATCAACATTTGTTTCCTTTTTCAAAATCTTTAATGCTTGAGTTGTTCTTAATGTCTATAATATATTGTGCTTGAGTTGTTCTTAACGTCCATATGTCATTGATTCATGAGTTTTTTTCCAAAATATTTCTTTTTCAATTCATGATTTAGAAACTCAAGTTTTTCATTTGCAATCTTTTAAATTTGTTTCAAATTTTATCTATTAGTCAATACACTTGTTATCAAAATATGTATATAATATGGATAAATTTTATCCCACGACACTTAGGTGTACATACATGTGATGAATATATTATTTATATTTTAACAGCATGTTAAAACATAAATAAATGAGTTTTACATTTAAAATGTCACGTATAAAAAAAAATCATTTTTAGACTAAGAATGAAAAATGAAACATATATCAGAAAAAGATTATAAATCAACTAATTAATGATGCGATTTATTTTTATATCTAAGTGCCAAATAAGTTTAGAGATTATCTTAGACTAATTAATCTTGTACTTTGCCATTACAAGGGAGAGTCCAGTGCTCCAGGCAAGTCATTTCTAAGCAGAAAGTAATGATGAAAACCATGCCTTTATAAGGGTTCATTTTCAAAGAATTTCAAAGCGCCAACATTTATGGGTTTTTTACCCTTCTTTTTCAATGTAGATTTCTAATAATTTGCTGATCCTCAGGCATTTGAGAAGGCTTGGAAGGAAGCTTGTTCGTCCAAGGGTACAGTTGTTCTTGAGGTGCCTGAAGGAAAGAGCTATCTTCTTAGGCCTGTACGATTTTCAGGTCCCTGCAAGTCTAATCTTACAATCCAGGTAAGCCTGAAAAAAATTGTAAACCAATAGCTTAATTAATTTTAACCATGAACGATCAGCTGAAGCATTAATGGACTGCTGCTGTAAAATTTCAGATATATGGAACCATAGAAGCATCTGATGATAGATCAGACTACAAGGAAGATAGCAGACACTGGCTTATCTTTGATAACGTTCATAACTTGCTAGTTGAAGGAGGTGGAAATATTAATGGCAATGGGAAGATATGGTGGCAGAACTCTTGCAAAATTAACAAAGATCTTGTAAGCCTAGCGGCTAGCCCCCCTAAAGTTTTCTCGATGTTTGCTTATCATATTCTTTTCTTTGCTGACTACTGTTGTTTCTTTCTTTGTTTTGCAGCCATGCAAGGATGCACCAACGGTAGGTTAATACAATTTTCTAGTTATTTTGTAGTAAGTACTCATGCATGCCATTGCCAACCAAGCTATACTAATTGACTCTTAAATTCTCCCAAAAATAACTGTAAAATTGAGATTCATAACATATTTCAATTTGATTGCCTAAGTAAACACATGTATTTGTTTATTTTCCTTTAGATCCTAAGGAAGGAAATCATTGTTTGCACCATATATTTATTCAAATATATTTACTTGGTTAAGTTCAATGTGATTTTTTCTTTCTTTGATAACCAGCCTACATGCTTCATATATATGTAAAAACTCATATAAAAGACATTTAGAAATTTAGAAAGTCTTCTATGATATGATTTGGTGCGTAGTTGGATGTGATTCAATTCCATCTGTTCTTCGTGTTAATTTTGTTTCTCCAATCTAAGCCATAAAATTAAACTCAATGTAATCAAGCCATACATACATACATACATACATACATAGCAATTAAAGAAATAATAAAAATCCAGACGAAACCCAGAGCTAGGACCCATATTTCAGTTCATAAAGTTTGAGTTGGGCTAAAGGATTTTCACCCATCAGAGAACTTTAGGTTTGAGTTAGACTAGGCTTAACACGAGCTTGGACATTTTCCTACCATTGCCGGGCCAGGGACAGAATCAATTTAAACCCAGAGACCAGCAGAAACATATAATAGTTTGGAGCTGGTGCCATTGAATGAAAGGCCACTGGTTCATACTTTAGTTTTTGGTAGTCGAAAGCCATTATTTACTTGAGTCACATTCATTTCATTATTAGAGTCTTATCGTTTTGGAAACCGTCTTTCAGGCACTCACCTTCTACAAAAGCAAAAACTTGAGAGTGAAAGACTTGAACATCCAAGATGCACAACAAATTCATGTTTCGTTCGATGAATGCACCAATGTTCAAGCTTCAAATCTGACGGTAACAGCACCAGAGAAAAGTCCTAACACCGATGGGATTCATGTTACACATACTCAAAACATCCAGATCACTAACTCTGTCATAGGAACAGGTATTCCATTCGTTAAACAAACCACATTCATAATTCTAACTACTTTGCTCGATTCTTTGTACTACCTTATTTTGACTTTTTTCATTTTTGTTCTTAACTGAAGGTGATGACTGTATCTCTATTGTAAGTGGATCCCAGAATGTGCAAGCCATGGACATTACCTGTGGCCCGGGTCATGGAATCAGGTCTGAAACTCAACCCTCTAATCTTTTTTCTTTCTTCTCTTTCTTTATACATTCCGGAAAAGCTGGATAAGGAGAGTTGATCTCTAACAATCACTAAGCGAAACCTGGACGTTAATCTCAACTCACATCATGTTCGTTTACTGATACATATGTATCAGTGTCCTGCTTTCCATTTTTCTTGATATTCATGTACTTAAATATGTCTGTTTGTGACGATGAACTCAGTATTGGGAGCTTGGGATCTAGAAATTCGAAAGCTTATGTTTCAGGAGTGACTGTAGATGGAGCTAAGCTCTCTGGAACCACAAATGGAGTCAGGATCAAGACATGGCAGGCAAGTCCTGCTCTGTCAATGATTTCTATGATATGCGTTCAGGTTCCTTTAATTACCCAGTTGACATTAACATTCATCTTCTATAATAAATTATCACCAGGGAGGGTCAGGAAGTGCAAGCAACATCAAATTTCAAAACATTGAAATGGTCAATGTGACCTACCCCATCATTATTAATCAAAACTACTGTGATCAAGATAAACCATGCAAAGAACAGGTGATCAAAGTAATAACTTTAATTTATGCAGAAAGAGTAATCTACTATTGGTTCTAATCAGAAAAAATTCGATTCGTTTAATTTATGCAGAGCTCTGCAGTTCAGGTGAAAAATGTGTTGTACGAGAACATCAAAGGGACTAGTGCTTCTGAAGTGGCTATAAAATTTGACTGCAGTGAGAGTCATCCTTGTGAAGGGCTTGTGCTACAAAATGTTTGCTTACAGGAACAAGGAGATGAAACTGCCAAAGCTGTCTGCAACAATGTTAAATTGAGTGAAGAAGATGTTTCCCCACAATGCCCTTGAGAGGGATGGATATCAATTAGGAGACTGGTCTTGACATGTAAAATACTATGTACTATGTATGTCAATAATACAATCCAGATTATTTGTTTAGGAGTCCACTCAGCAGTGCAGTTTGCAGATAAGGACAAGAGAAGAAATCTGCATGAGGTGAGACAATTGCTTTATCTATTAAGATGCTTCAAATCTCTATTGTCTTATAATTTTCTAATTATTTCTGGGATTATTTCAGGTTTACCTGGGACTAGAACTGCTTGGAGGAATCGCTTACAAACGTACAGAGATTGTTTCTCAATTCAATGGCTAGGCTGACTACCTAAATTAGTACTATTGTAGGGTATACTGTAATAACATTGTTGTAAAATCTGATTATCTGGTTGCCTTATTAATAAAATTTAAATTTCTATATTGTTGCCTTGTGGTGGCTTACAGGTGAATCCCTTCACATCAAAGCCGATTTGAAACTGAAAACTAATTAGTTTTTCCCTTGGCTACGGTCATAAAGACTGCAAATCTTCTTCATTAAATAGATGGAATTAGCCCATGTGTTCATCATGAATCAAACAAGTAATGGATCAATGAGAAGCTTGCCTGGCCTATCAGCCATATATTATCTATAGAATTATCTCTTTTTTTCCACTTCATTGCCAAGGAGGGACATTTGAACTTGACATATCATTTTTGGAGATATGGTTTACTTACCCTTAAACTATCACCTCAGCCACATGATTTAGGATGATCATTTGAAAAAGTTCAAAAAATCTTACAATTATACGCTACTTTGAAGTCCCAAGTATGCTAGAAAAAGCAAGTGAGAAGTTTTTTCTTTTACACCATTGATACTTCCACCTAACTTCATCTGTTGTCAAAGAATGGATTCCAAGTATCAAATTACTTTAAATTAGCATAAAACTATTCAAAGATTATTATAGATGTCAAATGTGTGATGTCAAATGTCAAATGTATATATTCATATGAAAAAAAGAAATCTGGCCTAGTAGTACTCTTCACTTGTTAAAACCTCTTTATGGTCAAGTTTAGACATATAATCTTTTTTATTAATAGTTAGAAACTCTAAAGATATTATACTTCACATGCATTAGATGCAAACGTTTATGACTTAAATATTACATGTATAAGCAGTCCATTAGCATTAATTTGATTTGCTTGCAGATTTGAAGGCTAAGAATTTACTCTGTTTCCATTTTTTTCCTGCTAGAAATTACTCTGTTATATCTGATAACTAAAAGATATCACAAAGTTACAGACCTTTAAATAAAAGAATAATGAATGATACTGCACATTTAAAACTTAGATTATATCCATGAAATTAGGTCTTTATGCATAAGAGTGCATAAAGAGATATTCAAAGATGTCACAGTCCTTCCATATAAATATAAGCTCATAATTACATGGTTTTCACTACCATAAACAACTACAATCATCTCATCAGTTTTCTGCTCCTTCCATTTTTTGCTGTTAACAATGACTTTACAGAGACATCTCCTCCTATTTTCCATAATCTTTTTCTGTTTGTCCTCAACGTATCACCTTGGAGAAGCATCTAGTTATAATGCTCAAGCAAGTCCATCGTATTTCAGCTCCATTTGGAACGGCAAATTCAAGAGCTTTTTCAAGCAGACAACTCAGGATCTTAAGCTGCACAGGTTTGATGATGATGATGATGAAAATTACCCTTCATTGCCTGCTGGTCCTGGAAGACCTGCATCTAAAACAGTTAGTGTTGATGATTTTGGAGCTAAAGGTGATGGAAGTGATGACACAGAGGTACTTGCTTAAAATCATATTGTGGTTTTACAGGCACAGAATTTTTCTCTGATTAACCGACTACAGCAACATCTAGACATGAGTTGTAATTTGTACTTTTTTACATAAATTGCTGTTGGATTACTCTATGAAAGCTTGCTGATTTTAGCAATCATGCAAATTAATACTTTTTATGTACTTTTTATATTTAGTTCTCCTCTCCAATGTGACCATTCTTGTTTTCTTCGTGAACTGTGTCAGGCATTCGAGAAGGCTTGGGAGCAAGCGTGTTCTTCTACAGATGGAGTCTCTCTCCTGGTGCCTAAAGAAAAGAGCTACCGTCTTAAGCCAATCAGATTCACTGGTCCTTGCAAATCTAATCTTAGAGTAGAGGTGAGGCCTATTTTGTATGGTATATACATAGACAGACAGAGAGAGGTGCAATATTAACTTATAAGTTTGAAGCCTAGTAGTAACTAATTTAATGAGATATATGATAAAGCAATGTTAAAACGTGTAGATATACGGAACTATAGAAGCATCTGATGACCAATCAGACTACCAGGAGGATTCCAGGCATTGGCTTGTCTTTGATGGTGTCCGGAATTTAGTAGTGGGAGGAGGTGGAACTATCAACGGGAATGGGAAGATATGGTGGGAGAACTCATGCAAAAGAAATAAAGACAGAGTAAGCGATTGAGTTAAACTTCTTCAGTTTCTCATCATTTACTCGCTGACCCAAGGCTAGGCTGACAATGCCTGTTTCTTTCCTTGATTACAGCCCTGCAAGGGAGCCCCGACGGTTCGTACATTTGTTTTTATGTAACAAACTTAATTTTGGGTATAATTCAGGACAGGATCTGAAACTGAATCTTGTAACCTTTTCTTTTGGACTGTCTTAAGGGTTGGATACGCGACATATTAGACCAAATTGCCAAAATCTTGGGGTTCTTCTATGTTTTATCTTCTTACAGTAGGGATTTTCTTCTTTGTCAGCAGCTGATTCTACTTTATTACATTCCAAATTATGATATATGGATCGGTTTGACAGGCCTTGACCTTTTACGAGAACCGACATTTGGTGGTGAATAACTTGAAGGTCCAAGATGCGCAGCAAATGCATGTTTCTTTTGAGAAATGTGTGGATGTTGAAGCTTCCAATCTGGTAGTAACTGCACCAGAAGATAGCCCCAACACTGATGGAATTCATGTCACAAATACCCAAAACATCCTCATTGCAAGCAGCACTATTGGAACTGGTATTATCAAACTTAAGTAATACTCATCATTCAACTAATCTTTAGCTCCTTACCACAAGAGTCTTTCTAACTAGTTCATGCTTATATCTATCCAAGGTGATGATTGTATCTCCATCGTAAGTGGATCCCAGAAGGTTCAGGCCCAGGACATAATTTGTGGGCCTGGTCATGGAATCAGGTCTGAAACTTTATGTTCTTATAGCAATGTTGTTCACAAAACTTTCACTCAGTGAAGAATTTTTTTGTTCTTAATTCTTTTATTAAGTCAATTAGGTTCCATTTTCTAATCTTTTTTTTAATGGTGAGCTCAGTATTGGGAGCTTAGGGAAAGGAAATTCAAGAGCTTATGTTTCGGGAGTAACTGTAAATGGAGCTAAGATTTCTGGAACCTCAAATGGAGTGAGGATAAAGACATGGCAGGTTAGTCCTAGCAGATATATACTCAAACCCATGCATTAAGCATCTTCCACCATCACTCAGTTAAAATTCATTTTGTGTTCTCTGATACAGGGAGGGTCTGGATCTGCAAACAATATCAGATTTCAGAATGTGGAAATGAACAATGTGACTAACCCAATAATAATAGACCAAAACTACTGCGACCAGGATAAACCCTGCAAAGAACAAGTAAGTAATTTCTATAACAATTAATCCAGTGACAAAACACACGAGGACTTGATACCATTTACTCATATAGATATTGACGGGAAGTATTTGTTTGATTAATTGGGTTTGCAGCCAGCAGCAGTCCAAGTGCAAAACGTGGTTTACCAAAATATTGAAGGGACTAGTGCTTCAGATGTGGCCATATATTTTGATTGTAGTAAGAGCCATCCGTGTCAGGGGATCACATTGCAAGATGTTAACCTTACAGGAGAAGAAGGAGGTGAAGCAACCACAGCAACATGCAACAATGTTCAAACCACAATGATAGGAAATGTTTCTCCAGGCTGTTCCCTGGAAGAGAGAAGCATGATTGCCTGATCAGAATCAAGGGGACATCCCGTGTGGACTCAATGTATGTAGGCAAGTGATTTTGGGAGTATTAAGTTACACTAATTATCAATCAATAAATTAATAAATCAATAACACATATACATACATATATATATATATATTCATGTATATTGTAAGCATTTGTATGATTGATGAATATTGATTTGAGATTTAGCATTCCAAAATTGACTAGGGAGAATGCTAACACACTTAATAATGACGTCGGACTGCCAAATAAACCCATGTCAACACCCAAGACCGCGTTTGGAACTAAGGCTACCCATGAGCCATCTTAATCAAGCAAAAGGTCGTCAAAACATTTGTTTGGATCGTGTCGGCCAGAGCATTCAGAAAGAAAAAAAAAAGTTTTTAAGGTTTTTAAGTAAAGGTATCTTTAAATAGAATTGAGATAAACACGTAAATAAATCAGTATTCATTATTTATATTTATTAATAAAAAAAAATTCATTATAAATATAACGATTACAAAAAATATAAAATATTAAACTCAAAATTCAATACAAAATGTAATTTCATATCTTCTAATATTTAAATTCACGAAACATTCTTTATTTTATGATACTTAGTGTTTTTTTTTCTTATATGCATACAACATTGTAAAACCTCATAAAAAAACTCATAAAAAATCACGAAAGATTTCATAATTTTAAAATTAAACTTATTTTGTATATATAAAAATTTATTATTTAATTATTATAAATTCTTAATTATTAAAATTTATAAATTATTGTGTGTACTTATCCTTTAAATAATTTAATCATCAAATTAATAAAATTTGATTGAAATCCGAACTGGAATTAGAATTTGAATGAAATATGAAAAGGAAAAGGATGGCAATGAACCAACCGACAGACAAAAATTAGACATCTATTTTCGCCATCATCAAAGATACGGCACACGTCACTGTACAACCCCACACTGCCACTTCTTCCTTCTGGTGGGAGCCCAAGAGTACAACGTGGCAGCAAAACGACAAAAAAAAAAAAAGGTCCTCCAATCTCAACACTTCAAATTGAAGTGGTAGTTACGCATTGCAGCTTTCTTTAATTGGAAAGTAAAGGAAATACAGCACAACTGTACTAAAAGAAACTGTTTTTTGAGTCAGGAAATAGGGAGTATGGGACCTTTGCAACTTTGGCCTTGTCTGACTCTTCCTTGGTGTCGGTGTGATTGACCCCATCCGCTCTTTTTTTACGGCTTCTTCTTATAAACATCTTATAGGGGGAGAGGGGCAGGGGGTGTTTCAGACCACAATTGTCTCACATTTATTTTTTGATTCTTTGTTTTTTGATTTTTGATTCTTGATTCTGGGTTGAGTTTGATTTCAATGAAGTTTTAGTCTTTGGTGTTTCTTTTTGATCCGGTGGCTTGCATTTGAATTGGGTTTTCAGACATTGGTGTTGGAGACCAAATGGATTCAGCAGCAGATTCAGTGGTCAGTGGAAAAACACTCCAAATTCCTTTCTTTTGATTTTGCTACTTCTTTCCAATTTTTGTTATTTCTATATCCAAAACGTGATCTTCGTTTGCCTTGTTTGGATCTCTGGAAGTGGGGTGAGGAAAAGGAAACAGATTTCCTATTTGAATTGTTTCATTTTTGATCCATTGTTAAGAATCTGCCATGTCTTTTGCTAGTTATCTTAAAGATCTAAATGGGTTCTACTTGTTTGAGCTTTCTGATATTCCATTAATGGATTTTGTTAATTGATTTATTTTTTAGGTTCTGGATCTTGTTCTTAGCTTCATTTTACTTGTTTGATTCATGAAGCTTTGCTTCGTAGTTATTCTATAAAATGTTTTATGATGTTCACTTATTTTAGTAGAAGATAATTAACAGTGGGATCATATGTTCCAAAATTTCATTATACTAGAAGTGGCCCGCTCTTATTCCATGGCTTTATATTTGGGAACTATGTTGCTGTATTTACAAATGACTGCTTATAACTACATTTTCTTCTTCTTTCCTAGAAAAACATATCTGAATCTTAGTTTTATTGCTTGCTCAGTCTAAATCCGGTAAAATGGGGGGACAAGTTTGCCAGATCTGCAGTGATAATGTTGGTCTGACTGCTGATAGTGAACCCTTTGTTGCTTGCCATGTTTGTGCATTTCCTGTTTGCCGTCCATGTTACGAATATGAGAGAAAAGATGGTACCCAATCTTGTCCTCAATGCAAGACCAAGTACAAGAGGCATAAAGGTTAGATCATCTGAACTTTCATCTGTCTTATGCTATTTCATGAGTATATATATCAAACAAGTGATGTATATATGTTCTTTACCTTTAGGATGCCCTCCAATTGCTGGGGAAGAAGTGGAAGATGCTGGTGCCAATAATGTAGCAAACAATTCAAATCATACAGCAGGGACACAAGGTGAGAAGCATAAGAAGGCAGAGCGAACGCTGAGCTGGGATACAAATTATAGCCGAGGGGAGGACATGGCACCCCCCAACTATGATAAAGAAGTCCCCCTTAACCATATTCCTTTTCTCACCAATGGCAGTTCGGTAGGTTGAGGAATTGTTCTTGCTCTTTCTTGCTTCTCTTGTTTTTCTGAAATCTGAGACTATAATTTCTTTTGATTTTGAGTTTTAGGTTTCTGGGGAGTTATCTGCTGCATCTCCTGCAAGAATCTCAATGGCATCTCCTGAAAGTGGGATCAGGGGAAAGGGTATGGATCTAATCCATTATGCAGAAGGCATCATTTTATTTTGGTTTGCTGCTGGATGCTACAATGAAGTGATAACTTTTTTTTCCACAGGTAACATTAGGTTGGCTGATCCTGCAAGAGAGTTTGGGTCATCAGGGTTTGGCAATGTAGCCTGGAAGGAGAGGATTGATGGTTGGAAGATAAAGCCCGAGAAGAATGCAGTTCCAATGAGTGTTAGTAATGCCCCTTCTGAAGGCAGGGGAGGTGGAGATTTTGATGCCAGCACTGATGTAGCTATGGATGATTCTATATTGTAAGCATCTCACTTTTTTCACTATATATTCCTGTTCATTCATTGTGGGCATATCTCTATCAACTGCCAATCATCATTCTATCCTTTCACTTCATCTGAAATTTATGCTTTCTTTCTCCCTCTTTCTGCTTTTTGTTATCCAGTTCTTTCTTCTCTCTTCATGTGCATGTGTCAATGAACTTCTTTCTACCAGTTGGCTAAAATAGAATCAAGAAGGTAATGTGTACTTATAATTTGACTTGATAAATATAGAATACCAAGCTGCTGTATTGAGATATCGAAGTATTCTTCAAAACATATTGCTCTTTTCATATGGTCCCCATCAGGATGAACCGTAGATGTGTATGCATATATTAAGTTGTGCAGTATCTTGTTGTAACCATGTTTGTTTCCACCTACAAACATAGACATCACAAGTGATGCTATTATGTAGCTAGTGTTTCACCAGAAAGCTTGCAAGCCTTGTGCTACGTTGGTAATCAGTAATTGTATGTAATGCATACTTTCCAATTAACACTACTCCTTTGGGAGCGTAACTGTAGAAATTCGTCTGAGTTTTTCCCTATATTTTGATTTATGCATACTTTTATATGTTAGAGAATAATAGTTTTTACTTATGTTTTATGTTCTTTTTTTTTTTTGGTTAATCTTCAATATATATTTCTGTAATGCAGAAATGATGAAGCCCGCCAGCCTCTATCTAGAAAAGTCTCAGTTCCTTCCTCTAGGATCAACCCTTATAGGATGGTCATTGTTTTGCGGCTCATTATTCTCTGCATTTTCCTGCACTATCGTATAACAAATCCAGTTCGCAATGCCTATGCTTTGTGGTTGATATCTGTGATTTGTGAGATATGGTTTGCAATATCATGGATATTGGATCAGTTCCCTAAATGGCTTCCTGTGAACCGTGAGACATATCTTGACAGGCTGGCTTTGAGGTAGTTACTCCACTTATGAGGTCTTGAATGATGCAAAACTGTCTGAAGTCCTAATGAATTTTTTTGATTTCCAACAGATATGACCGAGAAGGAGAGCCATCCCAGTTGGCTGCTGTTGACATATTCGTCAGTACAGTTGATCCTCTGAAGGAACCTCCACTTGTCACAGCCAATACAGTCCTATCCATTCTTGCAGTTGACTACCCCGTCGACAAAGTTTCATGCTATGTTTCAGATGATGGTGCTGCTATGTTAACATTTGAAGCTCTGTCTGAAACATCAGAATTTGCTAGAAAATGGGTTCCTTTCTCCAAGAAATACAGCATTGAACCACGAGCGCCAGAATGGTATTTTGCACAAAAGATTGACTACCTAAAGGATAAGGTTCAACCAGCTTTTGTCAAGGAACGCAGAGCTATGAAGGTAGAAAAATCTACTTACATTTAATTATTCTGATATGGTAATAGATATTTACACTGTTTTTCTCAACAACTATACTTTTGTTGCAGAGAGAATATGAAGAGTTTAAAGTTCGTATTAATGGACTTGTTGCAAAAGCACAGAAAGTTCCTGATGAAGGATGGGTCATGCAAGATGGCACTCCTTGGCCTGGAAATAACACCAGGGATCATCCTGGAATGATCCAGGTTTGTTTAATTAGAACTGGCTTATTGTGTTCATCAGCAGGAAGGGCCTTCTTAATGATGCTTGGTTTAGATTTTTTATATATAAAAATTAGTTTTGAGAAGCGAGATGTTTCTTTTGAGCCCCATAAAAAAAAAAAAGATGTCAAGATATTTTTGAATGTATGTATTATATGCTAAATATCTGAATCAAATAATTGAAAGCTAATTTATTGGTACTCTACATTTACTCTTACTGTTATCTCTGCATTTTCTAGTTCTATTCTCCATGATGTGCAAATTTTGATTTTCATCACACCAGAAAGACTGATTTTGGCTTCCCTTCTTGGTTTGAAGCTTATGACTTATTATTACTGCATAATTGGCAGGTTTTCTTAGGTCATAGTGGAGGACTTGATTCTGACGGTAATGAGCTTCCACGATTAGTCTATGTGTCTCGTGAGAAGCGTCCTGGATTTCTGCATCACAAGAAGGCTGGTGCTATGAATGCACTTGTAAGTAGTCAGTAATTTTGTCTTAGAGATTCTTGTGTTTTGGCATGTACACAACTTAACAATCTACACATCAATATCAGGTGCGTGTTTCAGCAGTTCTCACCAATGGACCATTCTTGTTGAATCTTGATTGTGATCATTACATAAATAACAGCAGGGCATTGCGAGAAGCTATGTGTTTCATGATGGATCCCAATCTTGGAAAGTCAGTTTGTTATGTACAGTTTCCCCAAAGATTTGACGGGATAGATAAAAATGATCGTTATGCCAATCGTAACACTGTTTTCTTCGATGTAAGCTCTGTTGCTGTGTGCGCCATCAATTTTTTACATCCTAATTTATAATTTTATGATCCTGCATTACATTGCACAAGTGTTAATTTCCTCTTTTCTTCCAATTATTAATGAATGTCTAGATAAATTTAAGAGGCCTGGATGGAATTCAAGGCCCTGTATATGTGGGTACGGGTTGTGTCTTCAACAGAACTGCCCTATACGGATATGAACCTCCTCTCAAGCCTAAGCATAAAAAACCAGGACTACTTTCTTCATGCTTTGGTGGATCACGAAAGAAGAGTTCTAAAACAAGTAGAAAGGATGCCAATAAGAAGAAATCAGGAAAGAATGTGAATTCTACTGTGCCAATATATAATCTAGAAGATATAGAAGAAGGTGTAGAAGGTATAATGTTGATCTTTGATATTTGTCTTGCAACAGTCACTCTGCTTCTTTATCTTGAATGTTTGTCTCATTTCTTAATACATTGATAGATAATGAGCTGCATTATGTTTTCTGTGAATCAAACCAATTATTGAAAAATAAAACTTATGTGTTTTTAGGTGTTAATTGGAATCAAGTTGTTTTGCATCTTGGAGTTGTTCAAAATATACTTTTATCTATTTTTTTTTCTCATTGAGGGTTGTATTATTCAATCCTGACTTAACATTTACTCACTCATGTTTATGCTTAAGTAGAAATATACTAACTATTTCTGATGGATTATGGGATTCTACAATTGCTTGAAAGATTTAATTAATGTCTGGTTTTTTTGAAATATTTCCTGAGAAAGTGACATGTTAATTCTTATTGAATACCTGCCTGATGTGTATTTTATGTTAATTATTTGTTTGTGCTACTGATTGTGAATTATATCCAATGTCATAAATAATGCAACTATGACATTTTATGTTGATTGTTTGTCTGTGCTACTGAGTTGTTATGTATATCCAATGTCATAAATAACGCAACTATGATGTGTTGGTTTTAGTTTTGAAGAACATTTTTGAAGGTGTGACACTGATAATTCTTTGCATTGAATGTAGGAGCTGGATTCAATGATGAGAACTCACTGCTTATGTCACAGATGACCCTAGAGAAAAAGTTTGGTCAATCAGCAGTTTTTGTTGCTTCAACACTTATGGAAAATGGTGGGGTTCCACAGTCTGCAACTCCAGAATCCCTTCTTAAAGAAGCTATTCATGTCATTAGCTGTGGATATGAGGACAAGACAGATTGGGGAAGTGAGGTATGTAGCGCTTTTCCCTTCTATATCAACTCTCTGTTAGTTTCCTTTACAGGGAGAAAACTTTTGAGCTAGTAGCTATGATGGGAAATAAGAAATGCGCTTTTCAATTATGAGAAGCAACTTCTCTGAAAATTTTACATTGAGCGTAAGGATGCAGTGTTTTGAGGAGAACATCATTTGCATGCAGTTTATTTCCTTAAAATTAATTAAGTAAATAAACTCTTTTGGGGATGGAGGGCTAACAGTGCCTTTCTTGTTTAAGCTGAATGATAGATGTTGTGGTTTTCTTAAATTTTTGACATTGTTCCATCAATTTTATTCATCATACATGGGCTTATTCTGTTAAATTTATGTTTTGCAGATAGGATGGATCTATGGTTCAGTTACAGAGGATATCCTTACAGGATTCAAGATGCATGCTCGTGGGTGGAGATCGATCTATTGCATGCCACAACGCCCTGCCTTTAAAGGATCTGCTCCTATTAACCTTTCAGATCGTTTGAATCAAGTGCTTCGATGGGCTTTAGGTTCAGTTGAAATTCTACTCAGTCGCCATTGCCCCATATGGTATGGGTACGGTGGAAGGTTGAAATGGCTCGAAAGATTTGCTTATGTCAATACCACTATTTACCCAATTACAGCCATTCCCTCTTGCCTACTGCACATTGCCTGCCGTCTGTCTGCTCACTGGGAAGTTTATTATTCCACAGGTATGTACAATATCAGTTTCAGCTTTGTTGAAAGATTTGCTTCCTCCTCAATGCTGACGCTTACAAATCACTTAATATTTTCTGAACTCTAATTGAATAATAGATTACTGCCATATGATGTCTCAATTTTTTGACATTTTCTAGAGGAACTTGTTAAAAGAATATATCATGATTCACAAGATCTCCAATTGTTGTCACCCAATTTTGTGAATAATTAATACTTTTTCATGATTCTGCCAAATGGCAGAAACTAAGTTTATCAAATCATTTCTAGTTGCAACTATTTTCTGACAGGACACCAGCTGAGTTTAAATTTGTGACCTGTCATATATCTGCAGATCAGTAATATTGCAAGCATATGGTTCATATCTCTCTTTCTTTCCATCTTTGCCACTGGTATATTGGAGATGAGGTGGAGTGGGGTAGGGATTGATGAATGGTGGAGAAATGAACAGTTTTGGGTTATTGGGGGCGTATCAGCCCACCTGTTTGCCGTGTTCCAGGGTCTTCTGAAAGTCCTTGCTAAGATTGATACCAATTTTACTGTCACTTCCAAAGCATCCGATGAAGATGGAGATTTTGCTGAGCTCTATGTGTTCAAGTGGACTACCCTACTTATTCCTCCAACCACCCTCCTGATAATTAATCTTGTTGGAGTGGTTGCCGGAGTCTCCTATGCTATCAACAGTGGTTATCAATCTTGGGGTCCTCTCTTTGGCAAACTGTTTTTTGCTTTTTGGGTGATTATTCATCTGTATCCATTCCTTAAGGGTCTGATGGGACGGCAGAATCGGATGCCTACAATTGTTGTTGTGTGGGCAATTCTCCTTGCTTCTATCTTCTCACTTCTATGGGTTCGAATTGACCCATTTACCACTCAGGTAACTGGCCCTGATGTCGAACAGTGTGGAATCAACTGCTAGAGGAACATGTAGATCAGAGGAAGAACATGATAGTAACATGGTGGAAAAAACGTGAGTTTTTTCAGATATCTTTAAATAGCAAAAGATGGATGGTAGTTGTTATGAGCTTTGTTATTGCTTGAATTGGAATCTTATTACTTTGCAGGGAAAAAAGAAGAAAACCTGGTTCTAAGTTGAACCCATCAATTATTTGATAGGTTCATTTTTCTAAACCTTATTGAGCTATTTATTTTTGAAAGTTAACATTATACCATGATTGGTTGACGGAGTTGAGATTGGTCAATTTTCCATTACCATGTTGTATGAATAAGAAAGTGATTGTTACATTTTTTCTTCCAGCTGCTCTTTCTCCCAATTTTGGATGGCACTTGACATTGAGGTTTATACTGTCATCTTCTCCCCTAAAGTTCTGGGTGTCTAAAATGTCTTTAGCTATTGAAGAAGTTAAGAACACTTTCAGACAAGTGCCTGTCAAACTCTCTCACAATCTTTTCTTCCAAGGTTACCATGCTTCTGTTATCAAAACATCGGATGGATTTAATACATTGTGACAAAATTGCTGCTAAAAGCGGTAGAGTGAATGTTAGAACCTACTATGTCAGAGGCGGTTGAACAATTTGATATGCAGGTGGCTTAGAGCAACGTATTTTCACTCTCAGCTCCTGATAGACTTAATATAGATTGCCAACCCTATACATGGAAATTAACTAATTAAGCATGAAATATTCCTATAGTGACAGATGTCCTTTATCAATTCTAAAGAAAAAACTAGGGCCATAGCCCAGGTAGATGTCTAGTGTTAAATTTGTCATGGCATTCTTCTAATGCAAATTCTGGATGACAATGATTAGGCTTCCTTGCCATTCATTTTCCCATCTCACTCTGAGACACTAGAAAGTGAATGATGTACGTAAAACAATAAATTTCAGGGAGTGTGAAGTACTCACTAGTTACTGCCACTGTAACTCATATCTTGTTTACGAATCAAGGAAACAGCTAGCCTCCTGTTTTCGGCTCAAGTACGGCTACCAGGTCAAGCCTGAAGCTGTTCAGGAAAGGCTCGTGGTGGATGCTATAATTACCGTTGTAAAAAGTAGAGCAACCTTGTGGGGCATGCTATGATTGCTAAGGTAAAGCATTGCCAGATTGCTAAAGCTTGTCATTTGTCCTTGATCAATCAAACTCGGACCTTGCTTAGTCAGATGGAACATGTTCTACCTGATGCTTTTAGTACCATTTGTATCTTTCTGAAAAAGAACTAGCAACGGTACGTTTCCATAGACTTTTTAAGATTTTTATCTTATAAAATGTAGTAAAATATTAGCTTTTGAAAAAGCAACATTTGAGTTTAGATTCAAAGGCTCTGGGGCCTGTTGTTAGTGTATATGCTTTTGCAGTCGGTAGACTCCTTTGTGCCTTGCTGTTGCACTGCCTTTGACCACTGTGGATGTGGTAGAAAGCATGCATGATTTCTGGGCTCCAAATTATCCTAAAGTTCCCAACATATAGCACAGATGAAAAATGTTGTCCCTAAGAAAAAGAAGAAATTAATAATTTAGCATCATATTCATGTCTTTGATGCTTTTTTGTAGAATGGCTGGGCTAACCTGTCCCCCTTCCTCCATCTCCATTCTAGATATCTGTTAGCAATCAAGGGGCACAATATCTTGATCTAAGACCCAACCTGATTCTAGCCTAACAACTTTAGCTAGACAAAAGGGACTTAAGATGTTATGCTGCCAGGTTTAACATGTAAAGTATATAAAGAATGCCCTAATGGTTACTATGTTGAACCTTTTTTGAAAGAGGCTATTAATTCTTCAGTTATACTAAATGTAATTAAGGAACGGCAATGATACAAAAATAAAAGGAAAAAAATTGCAGTGGGAGAAAGACTGCTAATTTGTTTAATCAAGATGAGTCATGGTAACATACATGTTTTAAGTTTCTAGTGAAAGCACTGCCCTATTATGCTGCCTTGGTGAAGAATACAGTAACGAAATGGTGTTAAGGCAGAAGCAGCCAAGAGTCCTTCTGTGTTCAGCTAATGCGCTGTTATAATGCTTCCTACTGTAGCATCCCCACATCATACAATTTTAACTAATCATAATCACTTACATTATAGCATTTCCTTCTATGTGTGCTTCTTCATTTCTTTTCGTCTTCTGCTGCTGGCTTTGATTCTTCTGCGGGAGGTGGAGCTGTAGTAGGGACTCCACCATCAATGCAACTTCTACACTTCCTTTCTATCCATCCTTCTATGTCATTCTCCCCATTGCCACCAAAATGCCTTCCACCACAAAGCCGAGCAATGATTCCTGCAATGACACCTATGATAGTGATCACAGCCAGCACTACAATCAGAGTCTCGATTGATCGATGTGAATAGCGACTTGGTTGCCTCACTGTTGGTGGTGCCTGAACTACTGGTACAAATTGATCCTGTAACCTTGCTTCCATAGCTCCCATGACCATGAAAATCTTGAACTAGATGCTCATAAGCTTCTGTTTCTATTTTGGTACTGTATAACGGTATAAGACTCGAACTAAAATGCGAAAAGAGAGTCACAGTGACAATAAGATGTGATTTTGGCAGAACACAAGGACTAAAGAGGGGAAGCCTGCAGACATGTGAGTAGAGGAAAAACACAAGGATAGATAGTCGGGTGTTGAGACTTGAGAGTGAAAAAGAGTAAAATGGTTAGCAGAACATAAAACTAAAAAAGCAAGGCAGCAGACTTCCGAGGTTTAAGATATGGAAATGTGCTATAGGATACTGGGATGGGGAAGAAACAGTGGAACTTCAAGTATACATGATGCTTTGGAGTAAATAACGTGGAGAGGAGAGGAGAGGGAGAGAGCAATTTAGGGTGAAAGAGAAAACACTATTTTGTAGGGGGAAAACCGATATAGGATTCCAGAATTAAAAAAGAATTTCCAGTCTCACTTTTGGGTGCTTTGGATCTTCTTTGGTGTGATTATTTCTCATCCAGCTTTGATTACTTTATCTACTTTGTATATTCTAGTACAAAACTTCGGGAGATTTTTGAGTTGTAAAACAGGATTGCCTAACAAAAAGTAATGTATTTACTTGATAGTTTTACCTAAATAAGAAGATAGGAGGGTACTTCTAATAATGTCAGTGGTGCCTGGAATTCATCTGTGCACCCCAAGTGAAGGATTTTTTAGTTTTCTCTTCCCAATTTGTCCTTAGTGATATCACATGTTACTCTTCATTTATGTGACCCCCAAGATGAAATGTGTTTTAGCTTTTTGAAACTTTCCCAGTTTGTCCCTAGTAGTTTGCTATTTTCTTGTCTCTTTATAGCAGTAAGAGCTTCAAAGAGTTCCGTTTTCTCTCCCCCACCCTGGCCCTGAGGCCCTGACCAGCTGGCTATTTTGTCAATTTGCAGAAGATATTGACAGGCATGAATCAGCTAAACCGAGGAGACCATTTGAGCAAACCTGCCTACACTACATGTGCTAATGCAGGGTGGGAAGGAGAAAGAGAGATTTGGAAACAATGTTTGGGTATTTGCTTAAAATTTGCATGCTTTACATAGGAGAAAACATCAATAATGGGTCGGCCTTGGAGAATAAGTGTTTGGAAACAAATACCCTTTTTTCACTATCATCAACAATAAATAAAGTATCAGTCACTTTGACTTCCTCCTAATAGATGTAGATGAGTTTGTCAGATCAATAATGCTATCTGGCTTGGAAACTGCACGAGCTTCAGTTCCTTGTTCGTCTTCCCAGGTATGATAGGAACCAGGATTGAACGTTTTATAGACACTGGAGAATCTTATACTAATGTTATAAAATGAAATTACTATTTTCAATCAGTAATTTGTTTTGCAAATATCATTAGCAATTTTTAATTGCAATCCTAATATGAGCATAGTTTTACCCTTCCCCTTTGAGAAATGAAAAGAACAGAGAGCTTAGTCCAAGCCTGAAATGGGCTGAACCCATTCAATTCCGGCCCTTTCTTGAAGCAACAAAGCCCAATATAAATATTCCATTTCAGCATTGGTCAAACACTTGATCCGACGACGTTTCGATCCAATTCAATTATTTCTAATTTCTTCGGAAAGAAAAGGACTTCCAGAAAGACGTAAGACATTCGTCGTGTCAACGACTTTTCAGTTCATTTTCGTCGTTTCAACTTACCGTCGATTCCGCGGTTTCCCAGTTTCTCTCTAAATACGCGGAAGTCAAGAGTTTCCTTCACGACCGGATCCTCGCATCAAATCTTGGACACCCAAAATTTAGAAAAATCAGATTTGGATTTAGCTGCTTGTTTTTTTGGGGGGGAATTGAATTAGAATGGGGACTCCAGAATTCCCAGATCTTGGAAAGCATTGCAGCGTTGAAGATTGTAAACAGATTGACTTCTTGCCTTTCACTTGCGATCGTTGCCGCCTGGTAGGTTCCCCCAATCGATTTCTCCTTTCTGGGATTTTCTTTTGTTGTTTTTTTTTTCAATCTGTGTGAGGTTGGTTTGCCTTGATGCTACTGCTCTTAAATTCATTCTCCTTTTGCCCAAATCATATTCTTGGCAATAAAATCGGAAGCTTTCAAATTTTCCAGGTTGGCTTTGGTGTCTTGGTCATATTGGAGTCGTTGCAGTTTCCTACTTAGATTTATAATGGGAAATGTCCCCTGTTTGTCTTGATGTCAATGCTTGCTTCCCTGGATTCTGTTTGAAATAGAAAATCCAAACCAACTTGCCTGTTTCTTTTAAGAAATTGGGTCTAATATCAGTAATTCTAGTGGCCATCTTAGAATGTTTTAGGTAATTCATAGGCAATTTAGGCGCCATCTGGTCCTTGCTTCTCGTTTGTTGTAATTTGCTTTGTACTTCTTAAATTGTTTCTAAAAAGATGAAGCAAAATCGTAATTGATTAGTAATGATGAAATTACGGGAACGAAACACGAATTCCGATGTAGTTTTTCTACTATACAAAAGTGAAATAATGTATTTCGTTAATACAAAGAAAATTGTGTTCTTAATTTTGAATTCTTCAAAAATATTGTTTGCTTTTGTATCCAACACACCCTTTCTCTTGGAAGTAAAAAGCAAGTAGGAAAGGCAACAATCAAATGAACTTTGGACATTGACTGAAACATGCAAATCATATTGCTATTTTGGCTTAGTATCCAATCTATTAGTTTTCAATGAATTCTAAGCTATTATTGTAATATGTCTGCTAACTAAGCTGAGAACTATAGGCCTCGTGCATTACACTTTTGCTTGTTAGTTGATTGCTATGTAGTTTCTCTGCTTGTCTTCGAATGGAAGATGTTTGTTTTTAGAACCCGTACTTCCAAAGTTCATTTCAAGCAAAAGCTTGAAGTTTGCTTTTAATGATTTTCGGTGTAATGAATTGTTGTTGTCCAACCAATTACTGTGTTAAATTCTTTTCGTAAAATTTCCTCCTTTTTTATTCCAGTTGAATATAATGAATCTTCCAACAGGTCTTTTGCCTAGAACATCGAAGCTACATTAAGCATCACTGTCCAAAGGCTGATAAAAAAGATGTTACTGTTGTTATATGTCCACTATGTGCGAAAGGTGTTCGCTTAATTCCTGATGAAGATCCAAACATCACTTGGGAGACACACGTTAATACTGAATGTGATCCATCAAACTATGACAAAGTCACAAAGAAGAAAAAATGCCCAGTTCCTGGCTGTAGGGAAGTCTTGACATTCTCAAACACAATCAAGTGTAGGGACTGCACTATAGACCATTGCTTAAAGCACCGTTTTGGGCCTGACCACAAATGTCCTGGACCTAAGAAACCTGACTCAGGTTTTCCATTTATGGGTCTTTTGAGCAAGAGTAGAAAGGAAGAATCAAAACCCAACCGAGCTCCTGCCCCATCTTCAACTAATTGGGCTACAAGCTTTCGTAATGCAGCATCAACTGTTCGAGCCTCAGCTGAAGCAAGCATGACAAAATTGAGTAGTGAACTTAGTCAAAAATGGCAAATTGCAAGGGATGGAGTGGGGCTGAGTAGCAGCAGCAGCAACGGGAGCACAGCTCAAGCAGAGGAGTGCCCACAATGTGGAGCAAAGTTTTCCTCAGTTACAACACTGGTGGAGCATGTGGAGAAGGTACATGAAAGGAACAACCAGTCTCGAGTCTTTAAGATGTCTATTGATGTATGCCCCAGGTGTAGCAAAGGGTTTCGTGATCCAGTGGCCCTTGTAGAGCATGTTGAGAGGGATCATGGTGGCACTTCGAAAGCTTAAAATGATTTTGCTGCAAATTGTGAAAGGCATACTGCTGGTAAAGTAATTGTATCATGTTGTATTGCTTTCATTTTTTACCTTTAAATCAAATGCCAACCAACATTTGAGAACTTGTCTTCCGATTAAATGATTTTTCAACATTCAATTTTTTTTTTTGGTTCCATGTAACAATTTAAACTTCAAGGTTAAATACAAGTTCATATGGGAATACAGCAAGTTGGTGTTGATGGCCAACCTTTTTTGCATCAATTTGAATGATTTTAAGTTTTGAAGCCTTTATAATTTAAGCGTAGGATCATGAGACTTCCATGTTTTCCCTTCATTTCAGTAATCCCTATTCTTGGAGATGATTAACTTCTCTCAATGACATGACAGCTGATATAAATTTTGTGTAAGAGAGCTGCTTGTAAGGAGGAAACCTTTTATCGAAAACAAATTCACTTTGAGAGAATATTATCACTTGCTAAGACAATCTTAAAATAGGATTCAACTTTCCATGGTAGTAGAAGACTTCATATGAAAGACTAATAGATCTACTTTTTCTTGTTATTTTGCTGGAAAAGAGAAATTTTGTAGGGTACATATATCCCAGCACAAATAGGTTGCATCAACCCCATGATAATTGTTGGAAATTATGTCTCTTGGTGGATGAATGCTTTTTAAAGCTTCAGAGTTCTTTTTCCCATGGGAGAACTGTATTACTAGCATAAGCATTACCCTTTTCTTTTCGGTTTGGTTTAAAATTGGAATGGCATTGGTATCATTTGATTGCTTTCGTGATTGTTATCTCGATTGCACCTTGAGTTTGCTTGAAGCAATTGAGATCAATCAACTCAAGACCCTTGGAATAGGGTTTTTGGTTTTATCTCTATCCAGGTCAGTCAATCAAACCCAATAATGGTTTTAAAAAAAGACAATTTAAAGAATAATTTGATTGAAATGATTGAAGCCTTCTTTGAAAGGAAAACATAGTGATGTTTACTTTAACCATTGTCTTTCAAAATGGGGAAAGGTTGAACCATAAAATACTAGTTTATCATTCATTGTTTGATCCAAGAAAAGCAAAATGTTTTATCTCTTAAATAATTGCTTGGCAAAAGGATAATATAAATCATTATTTTTCTATACTGTTTTAAACATACTACCTCCATTAGGATTAAATTATAAAAAAAAAAACAGAAATATGACATTTGAGTTTTTAATTTAATAGTAAATATATTAATTCTTTACTCAAAGAGTTTGAGTTTGATTAAAAAAAAAGGTTGAAAATAACTTTAGAATGTATCTATTATCCAAAATTACGGATAAAATAAAATAAAATAAAGAAGTAAATTGAATTAACTAATATAGCCTATCCTATGTTTAGTGTGGGCAAGGATTGATAAGAGTAAGATAAGATAATTTTTATCTTATATCATGATTAGTGCATACTAGATCGAGGGTAGGATAAGATAATTTTTTTCATTGATAAACAGTAAAGTAAAAGTATTTATCATCAAATCTCAAATTGTTAAAATAACCCTTTTTTAAAGAGAATTCAAATTGCAATTTAATCCTTCATTTTAACTGCACACCAATCCTATCCAGTATCCTATGCACCAAACTTACCTGCATAGTTTTTTTAGTGCATGGTTTTTAGTAAGAAATTTGAGATTATAAAATTAAAATTCATAGTAAATTGTTTAAAATAATTATAAATACGAATAGAAATTATGATAGTAATTAAATAAATTCTATATAAAAATGAATAAACAAATCAGCCAAAATGTGAAAAGAAAAAAATAAAACAAGTGACAGAATGAATATGAAAAAGACCAAAGAAGGGCCGGTAATCAACGGTCATCATGTGCCAAGAAGAAGACAGAAGAGCACGTTCGCGTAGAAAACCAAAGTTATTAGCGATAATTAATGGAATATTTCTTTTTGTTATAAAAATAAAAATGGAAGGTAAATTCTAATCTAACGGCTGAAAATTTCTCTAAAAAAATAAATATAAATGTTACAGTGATGTATACAGTACGATTTGTTGATAACATAAGGGTCCACGTAATGAAATCGTTGAATGTGTAGCAAATATTTAAGTACTTATTGGGAGGCGGCAGGCGCCGGACTGATATAGCACTTAGAAAAAAAGAAATATTTTTTTTATATATAAAGAGCAGATTATTAAATTACATTACATTACAGCTTTAGAATTTAATTTTAGCTTATATTTTTAGAAAGAGAGGGTGGTTGAATTTTGCGGTGTGGGGAATGCTGGAAACGCGGTAATTGTTTTGCATGGCTTAGACGGATTTCCAGCCTCTGCTCTGCTCTTTCTGGCATTGATCCGAGGTAACTTTGAAGTTTTTGGTTTTGATCAAAAACCCGATTTTTTTATCAGTATTTCCCATTCGTTTTATTAAAATTTTGCATTTGGTAGATACCCTTTTGTAAATTTTTACGTGCTCAATCCAATTTTGTTGGTTTTTATCACATTTTGATTCACCATTGAATTTTGTTGATACCCATTTGGTTTGTTGAAGTCTTAATCCAGATTTTGACAGCAGTCACTCATAGTTTGATCGAAGTTTATAAACCCAAATGTCGGATTGTTATTATCCACCTTATATTTCATAGTTTTTAGTTTTGTTTGATTAGGAGGTTAAAAAGTTGTGACACCAAGGTTGTTGTCTACAGGCTGGTGGTTGGATTTGAGAGGTATCCCGTTTGTTTTCAAGCTCTTCTTTCCCTTCTGGGCGTTGAAGTCCAAGTTTTTGATTGATTTAGGAGGGAAAGAAAGCAAAAATTTTCGAAGGATATTGAACATTATTTTAGCTATTATTTATAATTCCAATTCTGGACAAAAAAATTTAAAATGAGCTCAATCTCTGGAGTGATTTCGAGGCAAGTCTTGCCTGCATGCGGTAGCCTATGTTTCTTTTGCCCTGCAATGCGTGCAAGGTCCAGACAGCCTGTGAAAAGGTATAAGAAGCTGATTGCTGAAATATTTCCTCGTAATCAGGTTTGTGCTTTTCAATTTTCTTTCTTTTTTATTGGTAATTTTACATGTTCTCGTTGTTGTAATGTATGGCTCATCATATTTTTTTTTTGTTAACTGCTGTAGATCAACTTAAGACAAAGACGCAAAGTTAAGTTAGCTCATGCTTGTTTATGTGGTAGGGCTTGATTGTATTTTACCAGTTCCAGAACATTTGTGTAAGGGTTACTTTATAGTGCAAACTAGCAGGTGGACAAAGTTCAGTAACAGATCAATTAGAACTAATGCAATTCAAGCATTAAATACGATTTAGATATGCAAACATTAGTCATATGGCTTAAATATATTTATTTTAAGCATTCTCTAACTATATTGTGGATGGATTTGCAGCTTTAGCATTTTGTGTCTTTTAAAGATTTTTTCCTTCCACATTATTTATCAAATAATTTGAACTTTTTATCTTCTGATAGGAGGAAGGACCTAATGATCGCAAGGTAGGGAAACTATGTGACTATGCTTCAAAAAATGCTTTACGCATTCCGAAGGTACAATATATTTGCAAGGTTCAAGATAATGATTTTGATGTGATTAATGATATTTTTGAAATCTTACTGTGTCATACTTGTGCATGCATTTGTTGTTTGATTTGTTAGAATCTTAATGCTTATGGATAACATACATGTTGATAACTGGTTGTGACAAATGCCACTACTTTTTGCACCGGTTTTATGAATTTCATAAAATTTTTCATAACATTCATTGAGAACATAGAGTTCAAATAAATTATGATGAGTATGAGAAGAACTCACAGCAAAAATTAGAAGTTTTTGACAAACAATTTTCAGGTTATAATTTGGTTTTATGGCCAACTAACAACCTGTAGGGGAAGCTTCTACTCTTGCAGCAGATGGTCTTCACTGCTCAATGGAAAGACATGCTGCAAATGGAACATGTTTGTGAAGTCATATAGGGAAACTCAGAAACCTTCAAAAGTTAAAAGCATAGACGTGTCAAGCTTTGTATTTCGGAAAAGCTAGAGCTTAACTCTTTGTTTTGAATAAAGGAACCTGAGTTCAGATGAATCTTTGAAAACAATTTGACAGCCTGGCATGATCAGATTAAAAAGTAAGCAATTATTTTGGAAAGAGATTTTTGATAGGCTGCATCGAAAGATATATTGGTGATTAAACTGAGCCAAAGTGTCAACTGAAACACAGTGACACCATGTTACGTACTGAATGTCAACTGGAAAATCATTTTATGAACAGTCAAGATTTAACAGTAGTATAGTGTTTGGTCATATGCATCAGCATTATATTTATACATGCCTATCAGTTATATGGTCTGATCCAAATTAGTTGTATATAAACTATTTGATGCTTCCATTATATTGATAAAATCCTCACAACTATCCTCTCTGCCATTGCATCTAAGTATTTTTCTGTCATGGTGTGTGCTGAAAAAATACCTATTAAACTATCTTGAAAATTAAATATTCTAATGGTGTAAGAGAGGATTTAGTTAGCATTTTGTGTTACATTTTTTCTGGGCACGCTCATCTCTATTGATTGGAATGAAGATTTTTTTTTTCCTGCAATATGCACGTATTGTGTGTAGTTATTTATGTTCATCATTCTTATCACGGGTTCTTGAAAATTTTGTGACCAGATCAGTAATTCCCTTGAGCAAAGGTGTTACAAGGAATTGAGAAACGAGAATTTTCAATCTGTGAAAATTGTGATGTGTATTTACAGGAAATTACTGGTCTCTTGTAAGGAGCAAATGTGAGTTATTCGGTTGCAAAATTTATGGGTTTGTATCTCACTGTATTATGGATCAAGTGAATACTGTTGCATCATGAGATCTTTTCCTTTTTTTCATTTGTCTTTTCCCTCCCTTTCTAAGTGATTTTGTTATTCTATCTTTTTTTAATGACCTTTAAAAAGAAACAAAGAAACTTTATTCTCCAAATTCTAATAAATTGTTTTGTAGTGCTTTGCTTAGATTAGAGAGCAAGTTTATTTCAACAAGGAAAATACTCCTGATTCAACAATGAAAACACCCCCTGTCATTAACTTAAGTTCTAAACAAAATTAGGTTGGATGATATTAATTAAACTCATAACAATATGCTTAAAGAACTAATGATATGAAAAATGACCATACTTATTTTGTCTGCAAGTTACAGAACAACCTTTGTAGAACTTAATTATGGAGTTAAATTAGGAGATGGGGGAATGGATCATTATGATTAACAAGTTCAATTAGCTGACTAGATATTGTAGCTAATTGCAAGTTTCATGGCAATGTGAGACATTTTTCTATCATATGGTCTATAGAAATGATACTTTTGTTGACTGAAACTTATTATACCGTTATGGAGTTTTCCCTGGAATTCTTGAGCTTGGGTCATGGAATTTATTGATATTAAGTGTTCGTGTTATTTATATTAGTAAAGATGTAAGTGTTATGTCTCTTGATCACTTTCGATTGCTCAAAAAAGAGTCAGCATTTGGATAATGCCCTAAAGCTTGAGTGCTCATATCAGTCATGTTCAACCTTTTACCAAAAGATAGAAACATCAGATTGTAATTTCAAGGGTAAAATCTCAAGTTCATGTGATGAAATTGATTTTAATTTGCTTTCTACTTGTAGTTTTTCCCTGAACTCACTTGATTTCTGATTATCAATAATTTTATAGGACTCTATTTGCTAGTAGCTTACTGAGCATTATACAGACTCTGCTGGATCAAACACGGCAGGATGAAATGCGAATTATAGGATGTCAGACTCTTTTTGACTTTGTAAATAATCAGGTTGGTGCTTTAGGCATTACTTGTACGCTTCTTTTGCTATGAAAAATGGATTTTTAATTTCTAATAATTTATTTTTAAAAGTTAGTGCACAATGACAGGAAACTTCAATCTCATTTTATCTTTACCAAAATTTGCAGAAGGATGGTACTTTCATGTTTAACTTAGAAGGCTTTATTCCAAAACTCTGTCAGTTAGCTCAAGAAATTGGAGAAGGTGAAAGGGAAAGAAAACTATGTTCAGCCGGGCTGCAAGCACTTTCTTCAATGGTATTTATTCATATGGCTGCTCTTCTTTTGAAATGCATGATTATGTCAACTTTTAGTTGGGTTTTTGTGAAATAGATGATAAAAGATTACCTTAAATCGTATAACTTGTACTAAAAATTGTATGGGCTCGGGCAAAGCTATATATATATATATATATAATACAGACTATAAATGAGATTTGGTGGAGTAATGCTGAAATATGGCATATTTTTTTTTTGGCAATTTATTTGGTATGAATCTGGGCATTCCTGTGAGGCTAACTTCTTAGAATGATGGAAGTACACTCCCTTCACAAGTAATCAAGATTTAGTGTTAGTGCAATCTTTCCTATTACAGACTGAACTCTTGATAGTTTGGATCTAGGTTGTTTCAGTGAGGCTAACTTCTTAGAGTGATGGAAGGACTTCCTTCACAGTAAGCAAGATTTTGTTATAACATTCTTTTGTGTTACTTATTGGAACTCTTAATAGTAGTTAATTGAAGTAGACAACACAATTGATATTGTTTATTTATTTGTTTTATTCTTTTTCTTGGGGGGGGAGGGGCCTTATTCTTTTTCCAGTTCCAGTGGAGTAAAAATGTAGGAAGAGAGAGTATGGAGTAAAAACTTCAATAGTCTTGGATACCTGCCAGGTGATCTAGCCTTTACCATGGTCATTGCATATTGGGCCAAGCTCATTTGTGGAATGTCAAATGGGCAGTATGCCCAAGCTTACTTATGAGATCAAGTCTCATTACTAGTTCAAGCTCGTTTTGAGTACTGAGCTTGAGGTCACTTTTTAACTCATGATTGAAGTAATCAAATTACACTTAATTTTTCTCACATATAACAAAGTCAATGAATGTTTAAATCTTTATTTCTAAAATGATTCATAAATTTTAATAGGTAGATATAAGGATTCAGTATATGCCAAAATATCCCAAGTGAATGCATTCTTATAATAACATCCTGAATGAAGAAAATCAAAAAAGAAAAATGTTAAACATCCCAAATTAAAAACTAATCCCAAACAAAAGCATTGGAATAATGACAGGTTGGACAATCATTAAAAATCAAGCTTGTGAAGGGGATAACAAATATAGAAATCCTCTTACATTATTTTAAATAGCACTTGTTATTTTAATCCCTGTAAACAAACTTATAAGTGACCTATAAACTAACTTCTGGTGAGCTTGGAAATGAGTTTGAAAATTAAATGAGCTGTTCACAACCTTATGCAAGCAAAGAACCCTTGTGCTCAGGCTTGTCATTTATTAAATGAATTTAGAAATCAAGCTCAAATCCATGTATTTAGCTTAATAAAACTGGTTAAACGTGCTAAAATCAAGCTAGGTTTTAACCAGTTCACGTGCAGATCTGTTTCCATGTAACCTTAGACAATAAATTTGTTTTGGCACATATGATGATTCCAAACTGAAGATGGAAGGAGTTTAACCAGTTGACCTTGAGGGATAACAATTATTAGGCCAAGTTTGGGTTCTTTACAGCCTTAGGCTAAATAAGTGGTATAAAAATGGCAGAAGTAAGATCAGAAGTGATATTCTGTCATTCCCGAATTTAATCTTCTTCTGATGTGTTTTTGTCATGATTCTTTTTAATCCAATACCATATGCATGACAAGGCTCTTTTTACATTTTTTTTCCTATGTTTCCTTCCAAGAAAGAAAAAAAGGAAGAGAGAATAGGACAAAGTCTTGGGTGGCTATTTTTGGCTATTCAAAATGCAAGTTTTTATTATTTCAATCTTGGGTTGTTTGGCCACTAGAATTATGGTAACCGTGTGTCAAGATTTTCATAATAGCATAAAATACTTTAAGAGGAAATGGTTTTAGTAAATGCTATAAAATAATTTCTCCATTGTCCCTCTATAAAAATGGTTTTCCCTTATGCTTGATGTAAGTTCAGAACACTAATTTGTTTTCTCTAATTACCATAAAGCTCTTCTTTGGAACTAATATTGTTAATCTATCATACAATTATAGGGCAAAATTATTATTATAACTTCACCATGGTTACTCTATTTTCTGCTTTTGGTTATCAGCAAGACATTACAGATTCGGTACTTTTTGACATGTTGAATGGTAATATTTGAAATTGACAAAACAAACTGATCTTATAATGTATGCCATGTATAAGTCACTGAGTTGATTGCTCTCCACGAGTCATTATATATCTCTAAGCTTTTAATTTCACAATAAGTTTTAATGCATCATGTATCATTATGGGGTCCATTAAACATCTGTCTATCCATTTATTTTGATTGAATGACTTCAAGGTTCACCTCAATGCATCTTTCTCACAAGAATCAAGGCTATAATGTTTTCCGTTTCACAATTATTTCTTTCCTCCATACAGTTGACATTTTCTCGATGTCTGAATTGTCTATATAAGTATCCTAACTCATGTTCAATTATCCTTTTTTTTTTTTTTGTGCAGATTTGGTTTATGGGTGAACACTCTCACATTTCAGTGGAATTTGATAATGTAAGCAGATTCCTTCTTGTTTGAATATCTGCTAGTTTATTGCTCCGTTTTCCATTTATTTATTTTCTTCATTGCCCATATTTGCATGCTTTCTGTAATAGTGATAGATTTCATTCATAAAATCTCGATTGAAGTGATTCACGATTTTCTGAACTGGTCAAAGCAGCTACCTTAAAAGTATCTTTTATTGTTCTTTTATATACCAAGTCTTATGTGTAAATCAAAATTCTGGCTATTTCCACTTTTGTTTCCATAGTATTTTCATTGGTGGTGAATATGGTGTACCAATATTTTGGTAAATACCATTTTCATTTTAAAAAGAATTTTAAATCTCTAAATCTATATATTTGTATAGAATTTCTTACACAAGGATAATATGTTACTGGTAATAGTTGAATGGAGATCAAGACTACATTGTGATCACTGTAGATCCAACATTGGGTTAATGCCTCTATTCTAGTGTTGTACTGGAATTAAATATACGCAAGAAAGATACTGATGGATGCTGTTTTCTCCAGTACAGTCTGCTGTGTTAGTGCCTTTAAATTTATTTGAGGCTATGAGTATAAGTGTCTTGTGCTACTTTGCTTTGGTCTGGCCTCTGATCAATTACTTTGAGCACTTGGGTCTGTCTATTCCAGTAACCTGTGGTTTCTATATCGCAGTGAAATAAACTCATATGTATCCTATCCAAAAGATTACTCCAGTTGTGGCAAGACTGCTAAACCTTGCTTTCATTGTTCTTTTCAACTCCTCAAAATTTAGTTAAATTTGGCTGATATTTCCTTAAATTTGTTAGCATTTATTCCCCAGAATTTTTTGGTCACATTTAGTGGAGTTGATTGCTTTCTTTCTTTAACTCTCTTCTTTTTTCGTGTTTCATTAATAACATTTTACTTTGAGCTGTATTGGTTAAGTTTCTACAATTTAATTGATCAGTTCTCTGAATTTTGGGAATGTTGTTTCATATCATTTTGGATTGAGGGCATTTTTCTACAATCAAAAACAGATTGTTTCAGTAGTCTTGGAAAGTTATGGAGGCCCAAGGAAAAATTTAGAGAACCCTAATGGTGCCCAAAGTCGGTGGGTGCAAGAAGTGCTAAAAAATGAGGGTCATGTCTCTCCATCGCCAGATGTCCTCATAAGGGTTCCTTCTTGGGGGGCAATTGTGAACGACAAAGGAGAACTAAATGTCACAGCGTAATCTCGTGACTCAGGATCCTTTGGATGCAATTTTGCATTTTACTTATTTATTTATTTTAAACATTTAACTTGCAATAAGTTTCTTTATTTTTCTTCTGACAGGGAAGATGCCCAGAATCCCTGCTTCTGGTCCAGGGTTTGCTTACATAGCATGGCAAAGCTAGCAAAGGAAGCTGCAACAACACGGCGTGTTCTTGAGTCTTTGTTCCGTTACTTCGATAGCGAAAACTTATGGTCCCTTCAAAATGGTCTTGCCTTTTCGGTCTTAAAGGATATGCAGCTTTTAGTAGACAGTTCTGGTAGTCATTCATTTTTCAACACTCAACCTGTCTGAGCTTTTTTTCTGTTTTCTGATTTTATATTTTATTTTTTCTCAAATCATCTGTTTTCTGATTAATGTGCTTTTCCTAAAAATTTGAATTGTAAAGAGAGACTAATACTATTTGTTTTCCCATGTTTGCAGGGCAGAATACTCATTTTTTGCTGTCTGTATTAGTTAAGCATCTTGACCACAAAAATATCCTCAAACAACCTGACATGCAGCTTCAAATTATAGAGGTTACAACCTCTCTTGCTGAACTTTCAAAAGCTGAGCCTTCTGTAGCAATACTTGGTGCAGTTAGTGATGTTATGAGGCATTTACGGAAGAGCATACATTGCTCTCTTGATGATGCAACTATGGGAGCTGACATTATAAATTGGAACAGGAACTTTAAAGAAGCAGTCGATAATTGCCTTGTACAGTTAGTGCATAAGGTGGCACCCTTCTCTTGTTCTTGAGAAAATGTTATTAGAACTTGGTTTAGAAAAACATGTTCCAATCCTTTACATTTTTATTTTGAGTTTCTCTCCAGATCAAATAATCCAATGACTTTGCATTTTAATCCTGTATTTTTCTTTTTCTTGGATATTTCAAAATTGAGCTAGCTATTGTGAACAGGTTGGAGATGCAGGCCCGATTCTTGATGCTATGGCTGTGATGTTGGAGAACATCTCAAATATTACAGTTATAGCTAGAACTACGATCTGTGTTGTCTATCGTACTGCTCAAATTGTAGCATCAATTCCAAATCCATCCTATCTAAACAAGGTTGTAATCATAATTATTAATTATTTTTTGTTCACGAACAGTTCATAGTGTTGTCTGCAGTAATATTTTATTTACCTTTGTTATTTGGTGTTTTTTTGTTCCCATAGGCATTTCCTGAGGCTTTATTCCATCAATTACTCCCAGCTATGGTCCACCCTGACCATGAAACACGAATTGGAGCTCACCGTATCTTTTCTGTTGTTCTTGTGCCGTCTTCAGTTTGCCCTCAACCATCCTCTGTTTCTCCTGTAACAATCAAAGGCTCTGGTATTCCAAGAACACTTTCGAGAACTGTCTCTGTCTTTTCTTCTTCAGCTGCCCTTTTTGAGAAGCTAAGGAAGGAGAAATCCTTCGCTAGGGAGAATGCTTGTCCAGAGAACAAACGAAACATTGCTAGTGAGGTGGAACTAAAAAACAGTAATAATGGGATTCTGAATAGATTGAAATCATCTTATAGTCGAGCATACAGTTCAAGAAGTCCACCTATACCTTTGCCAACAGATGGAAATCCTCTAAGCAATTCAAATAAGCAACCTGTGAGTGTTTGGCGATCTCCTATCTTTCTAAGTTTTCTTAGTTACACTATCTTGGTTATGTCTGTCTTTATGGGCCCATTCTGTTTAATCTGGGTTTGGTCCTTGCACAAAATCTGGCTTGGCAAGCCCAGGCTTGATTTTTGCAGTTATTTTTATTTTTATTTGGACCTGATCCTGGTCCATAGCCTCTGGCTCTACCATCATGATAATGAACAAATTAATAAAAAAAACGTTACGTCTATTGAAAAATGGGCTTTCAATCTAGGGTAGCTGAGGAATTACAGGGAAACCTTGGGTGATAAACTAGTTGGACTCTATGGAAGTAGAGAGAGAAAAGTAGCCTTAATTTGATATAGTAACTGCTTCATATCGTAACTTTAGGAATGACTGCATCTTCTGAAGTTGTATTATAGATGGGCATAAACTTTGATTAGGAGAGGCACTAGCTTTATAGCAGATATTATAAGGAGGTGCAAGAGCTGACTTGGGCTGCAGTACTTGCTCTTTATCTATATGCTTAAAGCCCCTTGCCAAATGAGTGGTTCAGATGATTAACCCTTTGAGATTGGTTTCATTTGTGTTCTATTTTTGTATGACTATTTCTATTCATGAAACCTCAGGAGGCCAATTCCCTACGGCTCAGTAGCACCCAGATTAGTCTCTTGCTTTCATCAATTTGGGCACAGTCTATCTCTCCTGAAAATACACCACAAAACTATGAAGCGATTGCTCACACATACAGCCTTGTGTTGCTCTTCTCTCGAGCTAAGGTAATTGCTCAATTGATGTTACCTGAATGGCATTTCTTCTACATGAGTTAGTGATTTTGAGGACAGGTTTTTTTAACTTGGATCTTGGTTCTCTTGTGATGGATATCTATGCTTATAGTTAATTTACATTATATATTTGGTAGTCCATTTCATTTGTCTGTCATCAAGGGCTAGTTCTTTTCTACTAGGACGCACTTTGTATCCCAACTTTTCAGGAACAAGTCTGATTAATCAAGTTTATGCTGCATAATTAGCTTCAAAACAAGGGGTAGTTCTATCATTCCTCTCATGCTCATCAAGCAATAATGCTTATATTATGTTTTATGGAATTAATTGCAATAAACTCTGCTGATATTTGGGAGATTTTCCCTACAGCTCACCTAGGGAGGAGGATTTAGCCCCTCAAGGTAGGCTGGGTATGGCCTGGGAGTTATTTAGTCTCACTAGATGATTTTGATTGTATTTCGGGACCATCAGGAAATCTGTAAGTAATGAAGTTAAGGAAAAAGTATGAGTAGTTTTCATTTTGTTTTGATATGTTTGTGCTACAGGTTTAAGTTAACCAGTTAAGCTTGTCATTTTAGGGTGTAGGAACAAAAAAATATGGATAGTAGACTTTATTTTATTGATGACATCTTTATCTTGTGGGCCTTTAAAGTTTGCCTTCTGTTGATCCTGTTAAACATCCAACCTAAAACCAATCAGCAACAGGTGGAGGCACCCAACTACTGCAAATTCAAGACTTAACTTTTGAAGTATAGCACCACATACCACTGCCCTCACATGTAAGCCCAATACTAACAGCCAAAACAAATGGGCCTAGCTTGTGGACAAACACATAAGGGGTGGCAAATAACAATAATGACAAATATATAACAAACTTAGGATCTGATATTATGTTGAGCGTCCAACCTAACACCATGTAGCCATAGATGGAGAGGCCCAACTTGAATATAAAGCCGTGGGAAATTTTGGACTTAATAAATGTTGGATAAGACCATCTAATCTCTACCTCTTTTTTACAGCTAGGGTATCTGGTTCATCTTCTTTTGTGGCTATTTACCTTTTCATAAGCCATTATGCTACCTAGAGTATATGTCATGTTTGAACCTAAGATCTTCAACTTTGCAAGTGATACATTTGTAAGTCATGGGGGGAACTTATTAGATTTAAGTTGTATCTTATTTGAAATGTATTTTTATAGTTGATCGTCTAAGTTGCTTATTGGCAAAAAACCTTCTTTGGGTAATTGTGTCAATAATCATCTAACTTCTAATCCTGCTATTTCTGGGGTTTAATTTCTGTATTTTTATTGTTATGTAATGCAGAATTCTGGTAATGAGGCTCTTGTTCGTAGTTTCCAGCTAGCTTTTTCATTGCGAAGCATCTCTCTCAATGAAGGAGGTGAGTACCCAAGGCTGTAGCTGTCTTTGCAATTCCATGGCTTTTAATAATGTCTGCTTGCCCCCGCCTTTCTCTTTTATCAACTCCCCCCGTCCCCCCTGCAACAAAAATTAAAATGAAATAAATTAAGAAAAACTAATACTTTTAAGAAAATAGAACTAGAGGATTGGCATGTCTTTCATGGAAATGACAAAATCATTGTTTGTTCAATCTGTGACTATTGTAAAGCTTAGTCACATATGTTTAGTGTATACATGATGACACCAAGGTTTCTCTCCTTGAGAAGGAAAAAAGAAAGGATAATTCTGACATATTGGAATTGTGAAAAGCTTTCTTAAGGACATTAAATACTGAACCCAGTAGAAAATGCAGTGGATTTGTTCTTTTAAATCTTACTTTTAGATGAACTCACTTTTAAATGCTGCATTTTAACCCAACTGCCAGCTTGCCACATATGCAACCCATAGTCAATCTTCGGCATGTTATCATTGGGATGACAGATCCTAAATTTTGATTCAAATTGAGAAATGGCCCAAATTTTGACTGTTTGCGTTACCTGATTGCACATTAACAAGTTCAAATGTAAAAACATGAAATAAGTTGGCTGATAATCTGTCGTAGTAAAATTATCTTCCAAATGCATCTTCAGAACCTCTTATAATTTTTTTCATGAATGCTGCATGTGATATAGTGAGAGTGGTTCAGGAAGATGACTTAGTTCATTTATGATTAGATTTAGCGCACAAGTCTTAAGAATAAGTGATACACCTGAGTAGCTTTTTTATTTTTCTTTTTTTCCCTTTGCTTTGTTACTTACATAGAAGGGAAGAAACAAGTTTTTTCTATTTTTCTAAAGAATTAAAGTAGGAAGGAAAGCAACTAATTTACATTCTGTTACTGTGGTATCATCTCTTTAAGCCATATTTCCACTAATGCTGTAGGGCCACTTCCACCATCACGTCGTAGATCTCTTTTCACCTTGGCAACTTCGATGATCCTCTTCTCATCCAAAGCATTCAGTATTGTTCCTATTGTCTATTGTGCCAAGGTTGCTCTTACAGAAAGAATGGTATGGAACTTATCAATCATGAAATCATCTCACTACTTGCTTTTCCTTGCTAGTTTTTTCTGAAATATGTCTTGAAGTTTCTATGTTTCTATACTAAGCATTTTCATCATTTTTTTTTCCGAGTTTGTATGGTACAAAGGAGCAAAGTAATTAATATCATGTAGATGTAAAGTAATGTCCTAATTTTCTTTTCTTCTACCTGCCTTCCATATTTTTTTTTATGGTGCTTGCCAAGGCAAAGAACCGGTAGTTCTGGGTTTTTTCATTTGTTAAATAAACATCTCAAAACCAGATATCTTGTTTTCATTGGCATCATTCTATGATTAATAGGTTGATCCATTTATGCGCTTGGTGGAAGATCGCAAGTTGGAGGCAGTTAACGCTGGTTCTGACCAGCCAACAAATGTTTATGGGTCTAAAGAAGATGATAATTTGGCTTTAAAGACTCTCTCGCAAATACAGATCACCCCAGAGCAACGTAGGGAAACCCTTGCTTCTGAGATCCTGAAAAGCTTGGGAAATTTGTCAGAAGTAAAGCTTTTTATGCCAAATGTTTGAGAATTTTGGACTTCAATTCATCATCAAAGAACTAGTATTTTCTATTTTAATTTCCCTATACTAATATCTGGTAACTCTATGCAGCCTGAATTGTCCACTACACGGGCCCAGCTGCTAAATGAATTCTTGCCGGATGATGTGTGTCCACTGGGGGTCCAGTTGCCTATGGATGCACCACATAAAGTATATCAAGTTGAAGTGGGAGATAATAAATCTATTAAGGAGGTAAATCTCCTGGCAATACCTTCCAAATTTTATCTATCAATGCTGGAAACTCATGCGATTTCATTTTGTTCAGCAGGGAGCTCCAATTTTCTCAACAGATAATTATGCTTTTCCAGAACCATTTGAAGGTCAAACCAAGGATAATTCAGAGTTGCCTGTGGAAATTCCAAATCTTTTGGATGTCAATCAACTTCTAGAATCAGTATGTCAGCTGTGTCATTCTTTTTTACTCTGTCTGAAACCACAAGGGACACCTTTTACATCGCCTATTAAAGAAATTTTATTTGGAGAACTGTCTCATATTTCATAACATTAGTACCATGAGGCTAAATGGTGATAGCCATAATTTATTTTGTGAGATGGAACACATAATTGTTTGCTTTATTTGCATAGGTGTTGGAAACAGCACATCAATTTGGAAGAAGTTCCATCTCCACCGGACCTGACATGTCTTACAGGGAAATGGCCCATCATTGCGAGGCACTCCTAACAGGGAAGCAGAAGAAGATGTCTGATTTGATGAGTGCCCAACTGAGACAAGAAAGCTTGATTAGCTTATCTTTTCAACATCCTGATAATGAGACAAAGCAGGTAGCCTCCAATTCCTGTGTCAATAGGGATTCACAAGGTCCTTGATTTAAGGGAATTTACGCATGCTACAATTATCATGCTTGTTTTTATGCACCATGAACATGCTTCTTGGCTTCCAAATTCTGTTTTGTTGTATGCAAGAACTATCTGAGTTTTGAGGCTCTAAGCAGGCCAAAGGCTTGACTAAGCATCTAATGTTCACAACCTAACTTAAAATGCAGGCTGGTCCTGTCCTTGAGCAAAGTGGTAGTCCCAATCCATACAAACAATCAGTTTGCACTCTTCCAATGCTTTGTGCAACTGAGTACCAGAATCATCCCCAGTCCTTCAGGTTACCAGCCTCAAGTCCATATGATAACTTTCTAAAAGCTGCTGGTTGTTGATCCTGTAAAAGTATGGAGTCAGATTTTCAAAAACATCCAGCGATTGATCCAGCAGGACAAAAATATTCAACTCCTATTAAGCTAAGGCTGAAAATGTACAATGCTTTTGAACAGTTGATTTTAAAGCTCAAAGGTTTCTCAGCTGCAACAGATTACTATCTTTGCTTCTTAGTGTGTGGAGTAAGGCCTGCATTGTGATTTAGGTTGATTGAGTCTAACTATTCTACATTCAATTCATTCATTCTTTTCACTTTTCTTCCATTCTATTTGAAGTTTCCAGAAGATGCCAAGAGTTCCCATCTCTTCATATTATAAGTAATTTACTTGTTTCTTATTCTTCCATCATTTTTATGGACGTGTGTAAAATATAGGTCTGGATCTCATTCATTTTGGGATATGAGAACCCATCTAATGGTAGCAATGTTACTTTGGATTCTTCTTCATATGCCAAGGAAAAATTTCACTCCTTGTATTGCTTACTTGGACATTTTTGTTTGCCCACCATCATAATTATCGTTTATGTTCAAGTGACTTGTTAGTAGATGGAATGCACTCTTGAATTTCATCTTTTATTAGGGATCAAGGGTGACTACTAATTACCATTGAGATGTGATTTGTGAGTTATGCTTAGATAGTTCAATTGATCAAATAATTTTTATTTCAATTATGAAACCATAAAAGAAAATGAAGGTGAAAGTTGGAATTTGGTTCTCACCATCTCAATGCTGCTAGTATAGTTTTTCCACAGTTATAACAATGTTGAAATTACAATTAAAAGTCATCATCGCGTGATTTAATATGTCAACTTAAAAAAAATTAGAATAAAAAGATTAAAACTATAGAATTGTGATCATAGAAAAATCAAATTTAAATCTTGATTCAATATGAATATGTTCTTGTCATGAAAATTTAGTATACTTTCACACCAGAATCTAAAAAAAAAAAAAAATTGAATACAAAAATCTAAAAGAAGGGAGACCTTTGAGGAATCCCTTTTCTTTTTCTTTTCCTGAAAGAATTAGGTTCGGCTTGAGCCAGAGGTTGACAAGTTGGGCGAGTAGTCGAAGTTGCATGAACCTCTTCATTGCTTGTTTCCTCCTCTACAGCCATCTCCCCGTTTACCTACAAACAAGAGATGTTACATAACTAGAAAAATCAATCAAAGCAAGAACAAAACAAAAAGGGTTCTCACTTTGCATTCAATTGAGCAAAACTTTGATGTGGAACATTGTAGTTCGTAGCCACAGGCTTCACACTTATCACCCTTTCGACCATGAGTGCGACTTTCATGCTCTTGCCTTCTTTTTCTATGGATGTATACAAGCTTAGAAGAATTGCAGACATAAGGTTGGATATCCGAAACATCCATTAAATCCTTTATGCCACGAATCTTAATCCCTGGCCTGCTTGAAGATTTGTACACCTACCAACACATACCCATCAACTCTCCTATGATCCACACTCTTTTATGTAATCGTCCAAGGATTAATTGAAACAAAACAAAACAAAACAAAACACTTACTTGGAGACTTCCATGGCCTTCATGTTTACGAGGGTTGGTGTTGCAATTTTCACAGAATGGTGATCCCATGCAATCCCTACAGTAAAAATTGCACTGCTTTGAGCTCTTACATTCACATGACCCGTAGAATTCAGTTTGCAACAATGGTTTTAGCCATGGCAAATCCCTTACTAGTGAATTTCCTCCCATGTTTTCTACGGATGGAGAGTCCTCTTTCATTAAATTTTTTTAATGTAATATATATACTTATGGGTATAAAGTAGGGTAAGACCCTCTCACTACTAAATCTAATTTAATTCTTATTTTTACAGCTTACAAATATAACCAACCTTGTTACTTGGCCAAAAAGGAAAAAAAAAATTTTCTAATTTTCTTCTCCTAATCTATAGCGTATTTATGCAAGCATCTTGAACCGTCGGATCAAAAGAAAAGACTGTGGCCGTTGGATCTCAAGGGCTGTTAAGAAAAAACCTCCGCTCACAAAGCAATTGCTCACGCGAATATTTTCCTCTTTCCTGGCAGCTCCGTTCGCATTCTTCCTCTCCGGCTTTCTACTTATTGACCCGAGACCCGGCAATCCAGGTAGGTTCGACCCGATCATCATACGGCTATGCAACCTTTTTGTTGTGTTTATTCTAGATTTATGGGTTTCGTTTCATAATTTTGATGCCGCTCCCTTTCGTTTTTTCTTTTTTGCTTCCTTTGATGGTTGATTTTAAGTTTGTTATTAAGAAGAATTGAAAAATGGTTGCTTTGTGTTTTTATTTGTTGGTTGGCCTAAAGTTTTTGCTTTCTATGATTTGGGTTTGCATGGATTTGATTCAGATTGGTTTGGAAAATACCAGAAGACTGATAGTTTTATGGGTCGAATTTGATTGTTATTGTATTCATGATTTCATTTTGGAGGATGCTTTTCATTTTTGTGAATTTCTTGTTTTGGTCTCCCTTAGGAGAAAAGGAAGCGGAAATGGGGCGATGTAGGAGTTTTCAAGGTTTTAATAAATGAGGAAACTGAGGAAATTGATTTTTTTCTTCTTCTGAAAAGAAAGGATAGTTAGGATTGATTGGATCACACAAGAGCAATAATTCTGGAATTTCTTTTGATAATAATTCTGTGTCTCAAAAGCAAAACACATAGACTTCTAAATATCCTAGTCTGGTAAGAACTAATGCTCCTAGTTCAATGTGGATTTCCATGAATGGTTGGACGTGAACTTACAACTATGTGAAAACTTGAAATAAGATTCTATTAAGATTTTGCAATTTGCAGCAGCAAAGGACAATTAATACCCAGGAAGCAGGAAATAAAATAAGACCCTGCATGACTCAAAAAGGACTAATAAATCTTTTACGTGCATCCCATCATTGGGCATCTGCATTTTTTGGTTTGGGTTTTAGAACTGAACACATTTAGAGGCTGCTGCAGGTGTGCTCCTCCATGGTGTAACTCAACTATCTTTCCAAATATATTGTGAAAAAAGAAATATTGCTGAAGTTAACAAGAATTGGATTAAGGGTTTGTAGTTTACTATATATCATAGAAACCTTTTGAATTTGAGTTCTTGGTTTCATAAGTTAGGCTTCTAGGGTAGTCGCAATAGCAGTCAGTTGTGGTATGCAGAGTCAGTAATGCACAAGATTATATGGTCAAATAATGTTGTGATATGTTATTTTAGTAGTTCATAAGTAAGGTGGTGCTATTTCTTGGGCTAGTTAAAAAAAGTTAAACTTGGTAAGTTATGTGCATAGAAACTTGGTTAAGCTTGTCAATCTTGAGCTACTTCTTATATTTCTAAATGTATTTAAATAAAGAGTTAATACTATAGTATTGGGAGCCTATAGATTCATTTTCTTAACCAATCCGGATGGTGACCGTTATAACGATAATCCAGATGAGAGGATTATCTTTTGCATTGTGTTAGAAGAGAGTAGTTACTGATGAAAAGTAAAAGGCAAAATAAAAAGGTGAGAAGGAGAGAGGGGTGAGTGTGTTGGGGGTTTGGGAGAGGGGGGGGGGGGGGGGGGGGTGTGGAAAGGTAACACTAAACAATCTACACTATTGTAGCATAAATAAAGTTCTGAAATCCTGAATAATGCTTTAAATTGCCAATAATTTGATGTATGTTGTTTTCAGGTTCTGTTTTGCACATTTGATGAGTCTTAAAATATGAATATGATGCATTATTTTTTGTCCTGTAACAGAACTGAACTGTAACCCTTGAGGCCTTTAGTACCATTCTGGGCCTGTAGTCCTGTGCATCTCAGGCCAGTAGCATTTCTACACTTTTATGATTTCGCTTGTATGGAGAAATACATTATGCCAAGAATATCAACCTTGTTTGATTATTTATATTATTATTAAGTTCTTTTTCTTTTTGAAAATAAGTTTTATTACGTACAACTCATAATGGTATATTGGTTCTCTGCTGCTTTGTCTGCCAATAATTGTTCTTTTGGACTGGTATTTTGAAATTCATTATTATCACGTGCAACTTTATCTCGTTTTTGTCTTGACCATTGCTTCTTGTCTTATTGTTGCAGCTTCGAAATGACAACAAAGTACATAATTCCTGCTGTGTTCGGATCGTTTGCCATTGCTTATGTATGTGATCAGCTTATTGCTGACAAGAAGATTTTTGGAGGTAAGTTGCTGTTATACTCATGAAGCTTTGTTATGGCTATTGCAGAGGTTTAATAATTGCCCTCTCCACTCCAACTTAGGAACTACACCTTCAACTGTCTCAAACAAGGAATGGTGGGAAGAAACTGACAAGAAATTTCAGGCATGGCCCCGCACTGCTGGTCCACCAGTGGTGATGAATCCTATCAGCCGCCAGAATTTCATTGTTAAGGCTGGTTCTGAATCTTGAAGACAGAACCTGAAGACCAAACTTTTGCTTGTGCTTTTGTCAACATTTCCAGTTTGATTGCTACTCCCTGTGAAGAAATTGTGGTGCCCGACTCTGGTTTTGCTTTGAAATTGTTCTTAGTTCAGAACATTGTTTTCTTGCCTTTTCTGTTTCAAACTAGATCTGGCCAGAGTATCACTTGAGGATTATGCTAATCTTATTAGATCTGAATAAATTTCTGTGAAGCGATAACCAAATTTTTTTTCTGCATCTTCAAGGATTCATTTCTTCCCTGGTATCCATCCACCTATGCTTATGTTGGACAGGTTCATTTGGAGCTTTTTCTCATTTTGTACGATGAGCAGCATGTCATAATCAATTGCCTGGAATCTTCTTTTTATCTGGAATATGTTTGTGCGGCTTTGGTTTCTAGGGGCTGAGGCTGCTTGGCCATGTCATTAGTTAAATTTAAAGTCATTGAACCCCATTGATCCTAAACCATCCTTGATGCAGTCAACGAATAAATGTTCTGGGTTGTCTGGGACAGCCTTGTTCTATCTCCGCAAAGTGCAGAACATCTGTGAATTAATGATTGGTATCTTTAAAGCCAAACCGGGGTCACCTGAACCGTGGCTGTCTTTATGTTTCTAGTTTTTCATTTCCAGGTACATGGAGAATTGATTATTGCTTGATGAGATTAACCTATATTTGGTTGAAGCGAAATAAAAGTATATTTTCCAAAAAAAAAAAATAGTGAAGAGGGCGGGGCAAGGAAATGGAACGGGGAAATCTATTTTAGTATATTAGTTTAAGAGATAAGTAGGTTTCATTTATGATCATTGTTCTATTTTAGGTGATCCAATTTCGATTTTTTGGTTGCATAATTGTGTTAGTAATTAAGAAAAAGTTCTCATGAAATGTCAAAATAATATTCACGGAACATGTAATTTGATCTAAAATGTAAATGTAACGTCAATTTTAATGGAAAAATTTGATTAAAGGATCGAAATGACACTAATTTGAGAAGTTAGGGATCCAATTGAA